TATTATTATTATTATTATTATTATTATTATTATTATTATTATTATTATTGTTATTATTATTATTATTATTATTATTTGGAGGCCAATTATGTCAGAATTGACCCTCAATATTAAGAGCTACATGAAGGAACTCTTTCATTATCAGAGTTTTGAAACCAAGAAGCAGCGGAGTAATTATCTCATAGTATTATCCCATTTTGTTGTGGATTATTTTTTGGGGANTTATTATTATTGTTATTATTATTATTATTATTATTATTTGGAGGCCAATTATGTCAGAATTGACCCTCAATATTAAGAGCTACATGAAGGAACTCTTTCATTATCAGAGTTTTGAAACCAAGAAGCAGCGGAGTAATTATCTCATAGTATTATCCCATTTTGTTGTGGATTATTTTTTGGGGAGGTGCAGCCTGTTACACTCGGTCCATCTGTACATTTCGCTAACTCGCCTATAAATAATTAGGTCAGAGCAGAAATGTATCTGATTGCACTTCTCTCTTGGTTGCTCGATCAGATTATAAAAGGCCTGGTACAGATTAACACGCCGGGACGAACAGATGTAAGATAATTCTCGCCTTTGATGCTGGAAGGTAAAAAAAAAAAAAAAAACAGCTACAAGATGCTGATAAATAACTGAAATAATTGCTATAAATATTTAGTCCCAATAAATAATGGCACTAACCAATGTTCTGCTTGTAATTAACATTAAACACTAAGTCATACCGAGGCCTTACCTCAGAGACAAAAACGAATAATAAAGTACACCAGATATTGTTTGACTCAGTGATGAGTGTCAGTCAAAGTCAGGGTGTATTTGTCTGATGGGTGATGACAACTGCGTCTGATCCCCTTGACCATGCAGGCTCCTTTACAAATTAACAGCTGCCTGGGAAGCTCGCTGTGAAACCAACAACCTGACGGAGGATGCAGCAAAGTTTGAGGCCGAACTAGAGAATTAAATCATAACTATAATAATCTAATAGTTTGTTGTTGTTTTTTTCTCAGGATATAGTGAATCACCAAAGAGCCATCCTTGGCACTATAGTGAGATGTTGCAGCCTTTTGCAGAATACAGCCCAGACCTGTGAGGCTGCACAGATTAATTGGACATGCGGGCTTTGTGGTCATGAGGAGACAAGTATCATCTCTTTGCAAGTATCGTCTTTTTGGCACGCAGAGACATAACAGCATGACACATCATTGGCCTGTACGTGACAATCTACGGCTGAGAGGTTCAGTCTCCTCTCCTCTCCTCATCCTCGGCCGAGTTAACTAAACCCTGCTCCTGCAGCAGCACAGGCTGCACTCGCCAAACCGCTCTCCAGACTAATCATCGACAGAAACAGGACGGTTAAAAAAAAAAAAATGTCTTACGTTGCAGTGGCACTCCGAGGATCTCCGGTAAACTCTTTACAGGACTCTCTGTCTGTAGGACCGCCGCACTTTGCATCATCGTGATCCAAACCGGGAGACAAATGCACGCACATACACCCGCAACACGGTGGGCGCACTCCCCCGTCCTGTCTTGTGGAGAAAAAAAAAGTAGGCTATGAAGATGATGATGATGGTGTTGAGGCCTCTCTCCGCTCTGCAGGGCGATCTCCCTCGCTGTCCCGTCAAGCCTCTATCCCTGTTATTTCTCTATTCCCGGGAAGATGTCCGTGCCGCGCCGTGCCGAGCTGTTTTGGAGTGGATCAGAAAGGCTGCTGGGTCCATTCAGCGCTGCAGGGGCGGCGGGGCCTGACGTCACCGCGGCAGAGGCTCACCAGGAGGCCAATCGGAGCGCAGGAAGAGGAGGCCCCCCAGGACGGAAAGCATCCTCCTATAGGTGTACGAGCGAGGAGGAGAAAGGAGAGGAGGAGAGGCGTCTAACACGGTATATGAAAATGTCTCCGGAGAGGCGGGACCTTGTTCCTGTGGAGACCATAAATAGCTCACTGCAGTGGCTCTCCGGAGGGGCCCCGGGCCAGCAGGGGTCCCTCTGGAGAGGAAGAGGGGTCCCATACAGCCAGGAAAATAAGGAACAGTTTCATTTCACTTTTATTTATCTTCTTAGAAATTAAGGCACCAGGGAAGGGATGAGCAGACTTCACTGCTACTCAGTTTATATCCTTAAATTCCTCTTCAACACACACACCAGACAAAAAGCGACTGTAGATGGGAGCTTAATGGATGCTCAGCAGGTGGGATGGTGATACTGAACTATTTCACTGAATTAAATGCATCTTTCTTCGTTTTTTTTTCCCCCACTGGGGCTAGAAGGCTATATACAGGATGGTGTAGGCTGCGTGGTAAATGTAGAAGGTGCATGTAGCCTCTATATAGGGAAGCTGTCAACATGAAAGAAAACTTTTCATTCAGTATTCATTCATATAGTTTCCCCCTGAAAACATCTCCTATATCAGTTTAGATATCTGTTTACCCAGAAAGACGCCAACTGCTTTGTCACAAACAGCTACAAGAGCAAAAGTGAAACCACACCAGTGAGGAGATATGGCTGGACACATGTCAGAGTCAAATGCACAACACCTTCACCTGTACGAGCTGCATGCACTTCAGCCCGGCAGCGTGGCAGCGCCCATGCAGCTGGATCCTGCTCAGTGACAGGTAGGATTAGGAGTCTGGGCGCAGTCCTCCTGACACTGTTCATTTCAAACCCCATCGTCTGACACTGCTCTCCCGGATAAGATATTCCCCCCGGAGGACTGCTAGTTCAAGCTAGATGAACTCAATCTTCGCTTTCAATTTACTTCAAGCGTGGAAAGAAAAGCAGCACACAGTGGCGCTTTCCCGCCGGTCCGCCTCCAAACCAAACCAACGCAGGTTGTTTCCATCAACAGTGAGTCCGTGTGCAGGTCCCAGGTGAATGTCTCCAGCCCACAACACATACCACATCTGCTTACACACATCTGGATACGCGGTTAACTACAGGACAGCCACTGACTTCAATTCAAGCAAAGAAAAAGTGGTTTATTTCAAACATATTTAATTGTATTCCAGTTAATCATGATATCATTTTTTAGCTGTTTAAATGTTCTAATTGTCAGTGTATGAATTAAATGCTATAATAATAGACTAATAATAATAATATAAATAATAATAATAATGATATTAATGATATCAATAGCAGAGACTTTAGATTTTCTGGCAAATAGCAGAAAATTGAAGGAAAAAAAACATTTGCATTGGAGAAAATTCTCACCAAATAAAAATAAAAAATAAATACGTGTGTATGTACAATTTAATTAGCAATTAAAAAAAATAACAGCAAATCAGACGGAAATTGGGAAAATGAACTTGGCTTGAAACTCGGTTATTAAGCTTTACTCTGCTTTGGGAAATTAAATTAAAAAGATTGCGTGTGTCCGATTAATTTTAGGCAACACAGCCACATCTTCTGTGGTACATTATGCTGGTTTATCCTCGTTCCTTTTCCCCGTATTGTCTTTTTCAAACCATCGACTGTTATTCTATTGTCGCTCACCCTTTACATACGGTATATGGACCCACAATCCCGTAAGCCGTTCGCCTGTGTGGTTAATGTTTCAAATGTAATTTACTAAAATGAAAACACACATCAAGCAGATTAAAAAAAAAAAAAAACAGGCTGGGATATTACAGGAATTTTATCCAACCCATTCAAAGCTCCAATCTCCAGGCCAGGTGTCCCGTCCATCCATCCATCCATCCGTCCATCCATCCGTCCATCAATCCATCCATCCATTCATCCATCCATCCATGCCGTGCACGTGTGGCAAGGGAATCATCTGGTCTTACTTTATTTTCATTATACACTTTTCCCCTCAAGATCATTGAATTTATTCAGCTATTCAATTACTCTGATTGTTGGTATCGGGACCCTTTAGCTGCCCTGGAAAACACAGCAGATAAAAATGCTCTTAACTTGTCAGCAAAGGGCAACACAATTAGAATAATTGACGGATGCAAAATGCAGGAAGAGAAATGATGTGAGCGCGCACATCTGGTTTAGTGGGACACTAAATGATGCGGTTTCAACGTTAAATGAGATGGCACAGAAATGCTGGGATGACATGAATGAAAGGCAGAATAATCCGCATCTGGATCAACTTTGATATTTTCAGGAAATATTCCTACGGCGGACGATGCCAGAAAATATCTGAAGGATGAAATAATTGATAATTGATTTCAAAAAAATGAAAAAATATGTATATATATATTTTAATATTAACACAATGGGAATCCAAGTGTTTACAGCCAGGCCTGCTCTCCGGGTTGAGATAGAATTGAACAATAACACAATTGTTTTTGATTATGAAACAATGCACTTGAAATGAATGATCAGAAAATGATAATAACGCACTGAGAGAGGCGAGATGACTGATATTTGTCTAAGGTGCCACTGTAAGAAAAAAAGAAAAAGAAAAAAGAGATGAGAGGAGGAGGAAGCAGCTCGAGCAATAACTCAAGCAGAGGGCGACTCCTCTGCCACCGCCGTTGACCCAGCCACCTCTAATTAGATCTAATATTTCAGTGGACGAGTTCATTGACATCTGCGATTCACAGATCCATCTTACTGAGCAGGAAAAAAACACAGAATCACATCCATCCACCCAGGAGAGCAGGATGATATGAAGGATAAATACAGGTGTGTGTCACCCATGCACACACTTACACACAGACACACACACACACACACACACACACACACACACACACACACACACACACACACACACACACACACACACTGTAACACTGCAGTTAATGAGTCAAAACATCAAACTCTGAAATTATTAGATTTATTTAAAAAAAAAAGTTTTATGTGTGTAAATACAGGATTTATGCATGGACCTTTTGCACATTGTTTCCAGTTTTACAAACAAAATAAAATATCACACAAGCACAGGAGCAAAATGAACCTCACACACGGTAATAACGCTGCAAGACTGACGTGAATCCCACGTTATTTTTGTGTGCAACTGGCTGGAAAACAGCACTGAAAAATGATGTGACAAATAAAAACAAAGACAAACAAACTAAGTTAAGAGGAGATGCGTGTTTTAGAAAACTGCAAATTCCCTCTGTCTTTGAAAGATGGATATATAACATCACCGTGCAGACCTACCTAATCACCGCAGCTCGCCGGTGATTTTGAGGCAGACAGTCTCCTCTCCTCCTCCTCCTCCACCTCCTCCTCCTCCTCCTCCTCCTCTTCTTCTCCTTCTTCTCCTCCATGCCGCTGAGGTGTGTTTCAGCAGGATGAACCAGAGGTTGCAGAGAAACAGCAGCAGTCAGTCCACACTTCCCACCGACACAACATTAGGTAGCAGTGGCACCGTGTCCCAAAGCATTTGGTCCGAGAGCAGGAGCAGAGAGAGGGAGAGAGGCAGAAAGCGAATGGGGAAACCTTAGGAGAGAGCACGGAGGAGAAAATTAAATTGCACTTGGGGGGCAAATTCTATTAGGGAATAGTTATTGTCTCCTGACAGCTCCTGTCCATTTGGGTAATTAGTAGAAGAGATTGGTTGAACAAACGAAAGCTATTCCTGTCAGAAATGATATTTTCCAATTCCCTGATTGAACCTGACCCTGTCGAGCTAGGGCGAGGCGGTAATAGGCTCATTTGACTCAAATAACTAGTACCACAGTTCAGCCAAGAGTTCCTAATAAATGACTTCGATTTGTATTTACAAATAACCTGATAGAGGTGTTTTATTTCAAGACACACTGCCCATGCTTAAAATATAATATATATATATTATAATATGTATATATATATATATATATATATATATTATCATTATTATTATTATTATTATTATCAACTATCATTTTTAGCTGCAAGGAAACTAAAATGAAGCTGTGCACTGACAAATTCTGGGAGTATTTTTGCAGGATTCTGTGGACTGGCAGAGATTCACTGGCACCTGCTCAAGGTGTTGCCCTGTCTGCATGTTACACAGTGCATGCTGGGATACACTCCAGACCCTCATGAACTTGACCTTGATACACCTGGAGATCAGATTAATGAATGACTGAATAAGCAACAGGACCCAAAGTTTTAATGAAAAGTAATGGGTCAGACTTATAGGAACCAGTTCAAATGTTATGGTGTTTATTTGTGGGGAACTTCCCCCTGACAATGAAGTTGAAAAAAGTGCACCATGACCCATGACAAAATTGCCTGTGAAAACAAAACATGTGATATATTCAGCAAAGCAAATTTACTTGAGGGCCTGACAATCTCCCAAAGGAAAGATTGATTTTTAAAGTGTAGCCCAGCTAATTCAGTTTATCACAATTGTCAGAGTTTGGGTTATGTTCAATTAAAACTTGGCTGCCATTTAATTTTTTAATGTGAAATTAAATGAAAATAAACTGTTGTTAAAGTGTGTTTAGGCGCTCTATATTTTGCTATTTACATTTCAGATAAGGATTCAAATCAAATGACCCAAAACCTATTTTATTATAAACAAATGGCATTAAATAAAAGCTTTTCAAAGCCCTTTTCATTGCCTCAGGATTTCCATGTGAAGCAAGGAGTGAATCTTCCCAGTTCAGTGACAGGAGCAGTGTCAGCTGAGTGAATTAAAACAATGTGACTGACAAGTGTTGGATCTTCTCCAGGTTCATTACCCAAACACTTCCTGTAAGCCATATACACTAACTCAAGAGGAGGAGGGGGAGTGACACCAGAACAGAAGAGAACAGAAGAGAACAGAGCAGAGCAAAACAGCACAGAACCAGAACACAACAGAACACAACAGAACACAACAGAACTGAACAGAACACAACAGAACACAACAGAACTGAACAGAGCAGAGCAAAACGGCACAGAACACAACAGAGCAGAAAAGAACAGAGCAAAGTAGAACAGAATAGAACAGAACACAACACAACACAACAGAATAGAACAGAGTAGAACAGAACAATATAACAAAACAGAGCATAACATGAAAGAAAAGAACAGAGCAAAGTAGAACAGAACAGAATAGAATAGTACAAGACACAACAGAATAGAGCAGAACAGAACAGAACAGAACAAAGTAGAACAGAACACGGCAGGAAGGAGAAGGAAAGGCCAGCGTTGTGTTGAAATTAAAATAGTGCAGTTGAGCATCTGTATCAAGGCCTAAATGCAGTTGATAGAAGGAGGTTATCGATTGACCCCCCTGCTGTTCACACTCCTGCCTTGCTCTCCACTGGGCACAGATGAACTGCGAGGACTTACAGTCGGCTACAATGTCCGCCTGTTCCTCTTGGTACAAACAGCAGCCCAACACGCTGATTGTGAGATGAGATGTTTGGGAGGTCAGCAGATGAGCGTCCACATGCGAGGGGGAGGGGCCGCGGCAGTAAAATGAGATGGAGCTGACCCTACTTGACTCCTGCCTCTAAAAGGCTGAATGTTTAAAACCGAAAGGGGACCTGGCTTAGTTTGGATGTGATATATTCCAATACCGTATATTAACCTTTTTTTCATAATTTATTCACCCCCCCTTTCCCCCTCCCTCTGTCCACAGCAGGAAGCTTTATAGTATTATTAAAGTCAGAAAGAGAGATGACAGAAAAATGCATCAAGGCCCTCCTGCATTTTAATATCAATACCGGAGGGGTAATAAACATCGAGGCAGAGAGCATACAGGAGAGGAGCGACTATAAAACCCTACATTGTCTAATTTATGGAAGACAACAACAGGGCAGCAAGGTGAGGTTTTTACCCTTCAGTCTGTGCTTTCATAACACAACAGCGTCTCAGTGCACAACATTTATTTTCAACAACAATCAACACATACAAAAAAAAAAAAAAAAAAGTTTTGAAAGAAGTAATCAGCAGCAGAAATGGCTCATATCTGGAGGAGTGATGACAAACCGGACGACTTCTGTAAACAGGCAATGTTTCTTGCTGAAGGCAGTTAAGCAGTGGGAAACACATGCTTAGCAGGGAAACAAAACAATCCCTTATAGTCCGTTTATTAGCTGTTCCTGAGCTTTCCGTCATATCACTTGATCCTCATCAGCAAATAGAGTTTGCACTGCAGTTGTCATGACTTGTCTGAGCACTTTAATGACCTCTTAACCATAAAAGTTTAGCTTCAAACCTCATTGTTACGGACTACCAACTGACAAAAGCATGAGCTGTAAACACTAACTGTAAGACTGCAATCTGCAGCTCCAATAATGCAGACAACTAAAACAAGAGCAGAAACCTGAAACCCTCTTTGTCACAGACAGACAGACAGATGACGTTCTTAGAGTTTCTTTGCAGTGTCAATGTGCAGCTGAGTTGAGATGAAGTGTTTTGTTTGTTTTTATTGTACTTATAATTATTGTATCTGCTTGTATGTTGTACTTTTGAAATGATGTCCTTTCATTGGGTTGGCTGTAAATGGTGTATTTATTGTATGAAGTACAAACATTTCAAACATTATTTGGAAGAGTCTTTGTTGTCAAGGTAACAACTAATGGGGATCCAAAATAACCACCAGACACTGAGTCACTGAATGGTTTGAGGAGGATGAAAGTGATGTGAGTCTTATTACAACTGAACACACATGAGAGATTTTGGAGTGACCTGTTAAACAACGCTCTCCACCGCCGCGACACCAAATGGTGGGATATGTTTTGGAAAAGAGACGTCCATCCTCCAGCAGAGTGCAGAGACTTGTAAAATCTACATTTAGGAGCAGTGAAGCTGTTAAGTTGTTTATAGTCAGTGTTCTTTTGCTAGGTTGCATTTAACAATATGAGAAATATGCCTGTTTACTTTCCCACTGAGAGTTAGATAAGAGGACAGATACCACCGTCATGTCTGTCTGTTAGATATCAAGCTGCAGCCAGGAGGCAACTAGCTTAGGGTAGCTTAGCATAAAGACAGGACACTGATAAACAGCTAATCTGGTACTATCCAAAGGTTACTGTCCATAAAAAAAAAAAATCCTATATACACTTCTAAAGCTCACTAATTAACACATTAGTTATATTTTGTTTGTTTAATTTGTACAAAAACAAATAAGTGAAAAGGGGAAAAGCTGTGGTGACTTCCTGCAGGAATATCCAACATTTTGTCAGATCTGTGACCGAGCAAACATTGACAAACGTCTTTTATCTACTCGACAAATGCCCTTGTTGGAGCGTTATCTATAGATACTCTACAGACATACTCTACTCTATTTTTAACATTTACCACCTTTAAGTTACTGTCGGGCAGTGGCATCGTTTTTTCTTCAGTCTGTCTCTTCCTTCTGTCTGCTCCCGGCGTGAGAGGCCATGTGAGTAGTTTGACAGTTTTACAGTACTGCCGGTCTTACTCTTGTTTATAGTATTTTACCTTTTTATAATTTGCAATTACTGTCAATATCCAATGAAAACTTTATAGGCCAACTGTGTCATCAAACTTTACTGGTAGTGTGTTTAGCTTGATGCATAGCTGTGCACCCATGTGAATCCTGAGGGCAGAGGAGTGATCCAAAACCTTACTAAATCACTTCATGATCATTTTTTTTGCTTTAGTCCCCAATCTGACGAGTTTCACTGATAACTTCTTAACTGGCTTTCTGCTGCTCTACATTTCAATAATCTGCAGGAACACCCCTCAAATTAAATCTCTTGTGCTTGTAAACCTGATAAAAATAAAACTGATTGATTCTGCCTCTGAATTCAGACACATTAAGAGCACAAACACCTGCGAATGTCTCCTGATTTAGATTCGAAGCCTCTGTCCTCAGTGTGAACCGCTCACCTCGGCCTTGGCAAAGCCGCACACAGATACTACATTGCTGCCAACTTCCTCATTAACCATCATTAGTCTGAACCAGCAAAACACTTGCAGCTCTCTGAGGCTCAAGGCACCTGATGAAGGGCTTCTGTCGAGTAAGGAGCACGGAGCATTGCTGACTCCAATCCAATAACAAACACAGGTAAACATTTAAACAGATTAACAGATCAGATGTGTGGGAGAAAAGTACTTAAAACATAAGACAATATGGATTTAAGAAAGAAATATGAATTTCAGCAAAGGTAAACAAAGAACAGCAGATGCCAGATGTGACAAAACAAATAGCCAACAACCACACAAAAAGTTTGAGAAAGGCACATAATTCCTCCTTTAGTGTGGCACTTTCCAAACTAAAAAAAAAAAAAACCTACCCTGATATTAAAATTTGTCTTATGATATATTGGATAATGTTTGAAAAAGGAATAAATAACATGCAGAAGACTTCTGTGTGTGACAAACTGTGCTTTTCTCAATCCATTCTGGAAATCATAATGTGTCATTGAGGGTCTCATTCAAAGTATCTGAGAGTTTGATTAAGTCACACAACCACAGCTGCTCAGCCTTGATGCTCCTCTGCTTTAATGTAAGGCTATCAATCAACTTTTTGTGTTGTGTGTGTGTGTGTGTGTGTGTGTGTGTCTGTTGTTGGAGGAACTGACTGCCTTAACTCAAGTAGTCCACCATCAAACGCTGTCATACTGCTGATGTTGAAAACGTGGTTTGGATAAAGATATGGAGTGGGGTTTGGGATGAAAGTATATACACGCATGTGTGTGTGTGTTAGTATGTGAGTGTGTGTCTGGGTGTGTGAGACAGGATGGGGGGTGAGGTTAAAGGGGCAGGATTCAAGGGGATTCAAGCCAATGTTCCAGAAAACACAAAGCTCAAGATCAAGCATCGGTTGTCTTTCAGATGGGACTGCTGTAATCCGGGCGACATCAAACCCGCATCCTCCATCCATTCATCCATCCATCCATCCATCCGTTTATCCCTCACACACACTGCTCCCTCTCTGAGGGTCCACTGCTGCGCCACCCCCAGCGGAGCCCACCTCCAAGTGTGTGAGGAGGGAAGAAGCCCCACGAAAGCAGATTGCGTTTTAATAAAGTTTATTATCTGCAGGGAGCTAATCCTCAAGGGTAATCTCTCCCCTCTAGTCCTAAAGGAAAGCTGGATTACTCACTTGCTATAATCCCAATGAAATTGTTAGGATTTAGCTTGCGCTGCACAGCAGATGGCAACAGGCTTTTTCCTTCAACCTTGGATGCTTTAACCCCCCCATTATACATGCAACACCCGCTCCTGCTTGTCTCATATCCTGGCGGTCTTGGTCAAAACAAAAAACAAGCAGGAACTTGTTATTCTCGATTCTGCAAGGTTCTGTAAAAATATTTTGAAATCTTGGGACAATACAGATGTTACAGAGGTTTAACCCCTCTTTGTAAATTCCAGTTAATTGGTAAAAATGCATTTAAAGTGATGGCTTACGTCACCAAATTTAAGTTTTCAATGACTGATCAGAGTATTGAAAAAGCGAGTCCTTATCAAAAATAATTTTATTGATTCAGACAGAAGCGAAGAAGCAAACAGAAAAACACAGTGTTTTTGAGATGATCAGCAGAAGCTTTACATCGCGGACAGCGGCCAAAAACAAATCCTGCTTATTCTAAAACCTTGTCCAGTGTGAACATATGTCTCGCTCCACAGCACTTCATAAGCAACCGGAGTAGCTGTTATGTAGGCTCAGCAGTGTGATGTAATATTCAGAGATGTGATATAACGCTCAGTGTAATGTAGACCAACTCAAAGGATCTGCAGAACAACAGGCGAATCGGCTCTTCTCTGGAGAAAGTTACTGTGGAGCTGCTGGTCCAGTCACAGTATTCAGAGATGAGCTGCAGTCCCGCAACAGTTCTTAAAGATCCCACAAAGAATTTACAGAATGGGGCTGTTTCCTTTTTGCCATCTTATTATTTAAAAAAACTAAAAGAAATGAACAAATAACACAAAAATCCCAGTGACAGATTGGAGGGAAAAGACAGTTATTAATTAATTTAAGATACAACCGAACTCATTATTTTTGAAATCACTGAAGAATCACCTATTCAGTTATTTAGTTGAATTGATTCAAATATTATGTACATGTAAATATATACAAATTGATACTGAAACTTAATTTTTTGGTCGTAGTACACAGGGAAGTAGTAGGAGGTTTTCATAACTTCAGTAAAGCAACAAAAAAATTAGTTGCATTAATGTCATACAAATAATTAAAAAAAAAAAACTTAATTAATCTCATATTGGGTTTAATTCTATCCTTCATAAGTGGTCAAACAGAATCAAAAGCACAATTGTTTATACTTAACTCAAGCACAAACCCCAAACAGAAACCCACTTGTAGAAATATATATCCATATGAAGAGATTTTCCACAGTGGAGGTGCTGCCTGAACAGCTCTGGAGGCCGGATTAAGTGCAAAGTTACACCACTGCCCTGATTTTCAAAGATTTTGAAGTTTATCTGCAAATTTCCTCTTCTCATTCTTTCCAGTTAGACATCACACCATCCACAATGTTCGGAATAAAACATGTTCTCGCCTCCTTTAGCTGTAGGCAAAAGTTAAGTGGACCACTTAAGATGGTGATAATCTTGACACATCCCCTTACACTAACCCCAACCTCAGCCTACATGAACTTAACGAATGTTAATCGTTGCTCTGACTCAGGTCAAATTTGAATACTCTTTGGTTCAGGGCAAGGATATTTTAACCCGCCGCAGCTTGAGACGGTTTTTAAAGAACATGTACATGGCGAGAAGACACATAGTGGACATGAAATAAAGAATGACACACAGGCTGATGTCTACTTTGGAGAATCCGATGTTCAGCATAGACATCCAGCGTCCCCCGCGCCTCAACTCCTCCCCGAAGTTCTGGCCTGTCAGTTCTCGCTTTTGCAGTCGCTTTGTCTGCTGCGCCACGTCCAGCTCTAAGTCTGCCTCCATAGGCTGCAGGCCCACCATCCCAAGCCCCCCGTCCAGCTCCATGCCGAGCCCGAACACAGGCCCGGACTCCTGCTCCACCTTCCTCTGCAGGGTGCGTGGTCTGACCCGGCTGGAGGCAGCCACCTGCAGCGCCTTGGCCTTGTAGTGCTGGTTGACAAATGAGTCCAGGTCCACGATGTCCTCCTGCACATCTCGCATCCTCATCCCCACGATGCTCGGCTTTCTGTGGGCCTGCCGCCGACTTCGGCCGACCTCCATCTCAGGTTTGGCCCAGGGACTCGGCTCAGATGTCTTACCGCCAATCTCATCTGCTGCTGCTGCTCCCTCCCCACCTTCCTCTTCTTCATCTGCCATTGCTTCATCCTGTGGCTCCTCACCCTCCTCCTCTTCTTCCTCCTCTTCTTCCACAGTGGGTTGTGATGTTAGAGGATGAGTCATTAAGTCCAAGGCCTCCCTGGCTTTCCTTTCTATATGTTTCTGAGCTTCTAATGCTAGCTGCTGGCTGGTGTGTTTCTCCCTCTGCTTTGCCAGGATCTGGCCTTCGTCTTCGAGATAGTCTTGACAGTGAGAAGAAAAGAACAATACAGACATATTAATTTTAAAGCCATCACATCTCATCTAGAATCGGATACTTTAATAATCACCCTGAGGTCATCTGAATCAACAGTGAATCTTACTTTAGCTCGGAAACTCTTTCTTTGCTATTCACCCATCACAGCAAAGAATGTAGAAGAAAAACTACTGTCCCCACCATTAAACAGTGGCAAGACAATATATTAATACCTCACATTTAGAGAAGATTCAATACGATTTAGATAATAGATTTTATAGAACTCGTTATATTACATCATTACGGTACATTAGAGCATGAAATTAGATTATTTTTACACCCACACAATATCTTACAATATTTTACTTTATGCTCTTTTTTTAAAACACATATTTCCTTTGGCATTATAATTGTTAACTAAGCAACAACTGAATCATTGTCATCTGTATATGAAGCAAGCTACTTGATAAAAAATGTCTGAAGAGGAATGACACAGGTGGAGTTCGTGATCAATCCGGTTTGCTATTGAGCTCTAGACTGTTAACAGGGAGGCAGAAGGAAAGTTTGTAGTTAAAATCCTTGAATTTATGAGATATGAGCTTTTCAGAAAGCTGTGGCATGAGCCCAATACCTTTGAGGATGCTGCTGGAGGAGAAGTAGGACAGGAGGAAGGAGAGAGCCTGGTCCTTGTTCCACTGGTGATCCCCGTTGGCCTTCACCATATGGCAGGCCGGACACATTTCTGGTGAAGGCCACTGGATCTTCGGGAAGTTGGGGTCTTCACTCAAAGCACCTGGAGAGATAAACACAGAAACAGGGCTACTGTACTGTACTGTACTGTACTGTACTGTACTGCAGAGTTGTGACCTCTTCAGTGCTGGCAGAAGATGGCAATATAGGTGGAAAAAAAAAGGATCAATTGTGACCATGGAAGGGTTGCTGGATCATTGAAATTTAAAAATCCAGTATTGTGAGAGCCACAGAATTAAACCTACTGGCATGTATTACTGGCTCATGCCTTTTTAATCCTCCTCCTTAAAAAGGTGTTGCGCAGAGATGAACAAACAACTAAGTACAAACGAATTATACAGGCAGTGTTAGTTATTATTCCATTTTGTGATACAATATACCTCTATTCTACTACACTGAGGAAAATATTTTTATATATATTTTCATTCTGTTACAGAATGTTAAACATACGATAAATTCAGATATGATGCATTGCTATACATGAAACTTCCTAAATATACTGTTTACTGTATATAACACTCCTGATATTAAATAGAGCGAGTTGCAACACCATATGGACTCAATACAACATTTGAATTATAACTGTAAGCAATTGATACTAGTCTTATAGAGATTGTTTTTGAATGCAGAAGTTAGACTTGGAAAACTTAAAAGTTTTTTTTTTTTTACATGGTAGAGGATCAAAACAGGCCTATTGTTTCACTACTACAGCTCTGTCAGTCTTTCTCACAGTAACAAACTAACGAGCACTTCACTAACTTATATTAGATGATACACAAGGTCAGAAAATGTTGGATAGATCAGGATTCAGTCCAGATGCAGTGACCTCACAGCTCCAAGCGTCCAGTCAGCTGCTTCATCTATTGTTGTTGTTTCTTTTATTCTCCTTGCTGGTGCGTTGACTTGAGGATATTTAAGTGCTCTGAAGACTGGATGCAATCTGTGTTGAACCCATTTGATCTTGTCACAGAGCTCGTAAAAACTAAGTGCCCATATGCATATGTGTACGTATGTGTTTAAGTGTGTATATGTAAATCATCTGTCTGTGTTTGTGTGCATGTAATCTAGGGATTGATATTTGTGTGTGTGTGTATGTGTGTGTGTGTGTGTGTGTGTGTGTGTGTGTGTGTGTGTGTGTGTGTGTGTGTGTGTGTGTGTGTGTGTGTGTGTGAATGTATGACAGGGTCTAATAATGATCAATGGGCTTCTGGGATGTCCCAGTGGGAGGGGTGGTGAGATAATAGATGTGGCCAAAGTGGACAGCTTCCCTACACACACACACATGCACACACACTATTTTCAGGCAGCAGACCCCAGTGGTCTGGACCACCTGTCTTGTCCCTTCACACCCCTTTGAAAGCAAAGTCCAATCTCCAAATTGAACATGAGAGCAACAGAAACCTCAGAGGGCATCTGCCCTTCTAATGAATTAGAAACTTTCTCCTTTAACATGTTTTCTTTTATGTAGCCGCTGCCCACCAACTCCCCTCATCTCACACACACACACACACACACACACACACACACACACACCACACAACACACACACACACACACACACACACACACACACACACACACACACACACACACCCTGCACCCATGACAAAAAATATATTTACAGGCTCATATGCAAGCTTAGATAGACCCACACTGTACAAATGCCCACACACGCACACACACACGCACACACGCGCGCACACACACACACACACACACACACACACACACACACACACACACACACACCAGCATCTGGTAATAAATTGCTTGTTGTCACCAACAGGCCATTGTGTGTATGTGTGTGTTTGTATGTATGTAAAGAGAGAGAGAGAGAGAGAGAGAGAGAGAGGGAGGAAAAAGGAGAGCAGCAGCAGGTCTGTCACTTTACAGCACTGTCAATTTACATCCTCCACCACCTCCATCCCGGCTCCCTCCTCCTCCTCCTCCTTCTCCTTCTCTCCGTCGCTCAAGATTAATCTCAGTCATATGCATGTGTGTATGTACTCTGCATACAGTACTTTACATAAAGGATACATCAATTTTACTGTGTCCTGGATGGGCTGCTGCCTGTGGGTGTGTGCGTGGGCTTTTATACATTTCAGCAGGTGAGCGCACACATCCACCCACCCACACACATCCACCCACCCCAGATGCCTCACATCCCTTTCCTTATTCTAATCAGCTTGCCACGTTTGCGGCCAGGGTGACTTTAGCCATACCAGCCATATTGAGATTGCCACAATGGCCTGTCACAGAGATGTCATCACCACCGCACATACATATTCATCAAGTATAAATATGTATTGTTCAGCACATCAAACTAGCTTCCTCAGCACTAATTCTGTAAGAGAGGATCACCTACACTGTGCAGCACATAGAGCCATCATGGCTGCTGGGGACTGCAGCTGATGTCAGACATTTTACGCTCATTTGAATAACCAATACAAAACCATTCCATATAATCTAAAACTGCCAAGTGATGGAAACTGGTATTAAAATCCTGGTCAGACTACTGATTTTGTTTACTTTTAGTTAGTCTTTTTAAAATTTCATGGATGACACAGTTAAGTCCAGCACTCAATTCCATTATGCTCCTTGATGTAAAATATAGCAAAGATGCTGGAGTCAAGATCACTAGGTGACATCATACTACCAACAGACCATAACAATAAATACCTATACAATCAAACTCACACAAGTCAAAAACACAAAAATAAATATGCCAAAATTTCACCTTCTTTTTAAAAATGTGGTGGTTACCTATTATTTTAATGTGCGATGGTAACTTATCTGAAGTAAACAATGAGGACACTGTGCATGTCCAACCCCAGTTGTACAGGGGCAGGACAAAAACAAAGACACAAAGAAAAAAAGGAGAGGCTGTCCACATACTGAAATTTGCAAGCTACCAAAATATTTTTTTTAAGGATGAAACATTTGCCTAACCAACCTTTTTCTCTCCTTTTAAGGATTATCTATTTCATAGCCGTAGCACAACAGAACATAAAGGAACAGATATTTGTGTTTATAGAACTTCTAACAGTTTCTAACAGAAAAGAAGTAAGGTTGATTTAAAAAAAATAAACTTATGGTATTGGTACTTTGACTTAGATACTCTACAAGCACTAGTATAGGAAATATTCAGCCCTAATTAATACCAAGATGGTGTGTCTATTCTCCATAAAAAAAAAATCTCAAAATCTGTAGGCAGTGCTGCACATGAACACAGGGTCTAGACTCTAGAGGCAGCCAGTGCTGTTCTGTCTGTAGAAATGTGAATCAGTCTCAGCCTGTTGACAAGCAGCAACAGGACTGAGCTGCCACCAGTCTTAATTCTGCCGCTGCAAGGAGGCCGAGGGCCCTGAGGCCTCTTTGTTGCCAACTAAATTAATTGTTCAGCCGCTTTACAAATAGCTGCTCTTTCATGCATGGCTGCTCCTGAAAGGAGGGGCGGGGAGGCCTGCTAAAGAGCTCCACTTTAGGCAAAAGGGAGAGGAGGGGTTGAGTGGATGGAAGGATGGAGTGTGCTCTCCTCAGGGAGATGCTGCCACTCATTGCTACAAACACAGCCAAACCCTCAGCTCCTCCCTCTCCCTCTGATTCACCCGACTTATCCCCTGTGGACCCCAGCTCGCCCTCCACCATCACTAACTCCCCCTGCCACACGCCACAACTTGACCCAGGCTTGGAAAGGCTGCGTGTGTTTGGGGAGGGGCAGGAAAAGAGGAGGGGAGCGTGTGTGCCTTGTGTCATGGTGTTTGCCACCTGCTGTCACACAATACCTTGGGAATTGTGCGTGAGTGTTTGTGTGTGTGTGTGGGCAAAGAGGGGTGGCTCCTGGGGGACCCATCCTGTGAGGATGCTGTGCTATTACTTGTCAAGCGGAGGATATGAGTCCCAGGGGATAGTGAGTGGGAAGAGAGAAAGACGGACACAGGGATAGAGGAAGAGAGAGAAGACGGATGGATGAACGGGGGAAAGCTGAATAGTGTTTAAGTGTCTGGGGAGCAGACACACGCAGGGACGGGTGCCCTCCTGGTCCCTGCTGTTCAGGACACAAGCTGTCCCTGAGAGAGAAGAGGGGGCAGTCAACACAAACAAAAGACAGTGATTTAACAAAGTGGGCTGTTAATGACAGCCCTGCGCCTAATAAAATCATATGAACACAAACAAGGGAGGAGGGACGCTCAGGGGCCGTTTAGCACTCTCAAGACTGATGTGAAGAAGTGTAAAATGCTGATACAGCATGGTCAAAGACGAGACGAAAGAAAACTTTGCAAACTTCTACACAGAGTGAGAAAAGACAGATGTCTGGAATGGGGATGAGAGAAAGAATCAGAAATGCAGGGACAGTAATCTCAGTCTCTCTCATGACCTATCAAAAGTTACTAAATCGGTTGATTATGCCGAGTTTGAATCACATGACCTGGATAGAAAGCCCCAGATTTCTTGAAGATGCGAATCCTGCCGTGGAGCAGAGGGGTGGAGTTAGGGCTACAGGACTGCAGGGAAGCTCCAAGCGCAGGAGGCGATAGTGGAGGTGCAGCAGAGTGTGGGAGAAAATCAAAGTAAGGGTGATAGAAGGATGGAAGATGGCAGAGGGGGTGTGGGGGGTGGGGAAGGAGAAAATGGGTGAAGTAGGAACAGATGATACTTGAAGGGCTAAGACGGGGTGACAGCTGGTGTCTGATCTGAGGATCCATCCTTCCTCCTCCCCTCACCCTCTTAGTCGTATTAGGAGGACTAACTGACCGTGAGGAGAAACTGGAAGTTAAAATCTTCCCTACAATTGAGTAAGGTAATGTTTATGGTCCCATGGTGTGGAGGGGTAGACACAGGAGAGGAGTGTGGAAAAAGGGAAGGATGTGATGCAACTTTCATTTAATTTAAAGAAAACTTCTTCAAAAAAACATGTAGCACGGCTGTAATTTGAATAATGTAAAGAAGAATTTTGCAAACTACTGCATGTGACATGACCTTGCTGACCCCTACCTGCTAGTCTGTTGTTGACGCGATTGTGTGAGGACCACAGCCAAAAGACAGCTGACGACAACGTGTCCACATCCATCATACTTTCCCTCGCCATGTTCTCAAAGTGCTCGGCACACAGCCTGCAGCCGAAGAAGCTGTGGACGTACTTTCTCATTGCATACAGCACCTCCTGAGGATCTGGAGGGGAATAACAAGACATAATAACAGTTACTGGATGTCTCATTAAAATGAGAAATATGCAGTGTGTGTTGCAATTAAACAATATCACAAGTGCCTTCCTAAAACTACTTCAAGGACAAACTTTGTTCCTTGTCCTAGTTTTGTTACTAATATAGACAATTGAATAAATAAATAAACATAGACTCAAATATACACAAAATCCCTGTATTAGGAGGCAGTGTCTTGGGTAATGTGCAATAAAAATACTGAGGTTATTGCTACAGACAGTTATTTTTTATTCCAAACAAAAAGTTGTTGCAAGCTGATGATTCTTGTCCAGAAACACACAAGTAAATGTAAATATGCGAACTCACAGATTACCTCATTGCAACAATCAGTCATGTATGTAAAGCACAATCACCTGCCCTTGTAAAGCTTGTTGTTGCCAGACATTAAAACGTACTGTAAACCTGTACTACAGTCTGAGAGCTCACTAATGGCAGTGTGGGTCCACAGCCTCCTGGATTCCCACGGTTATATGGGCCAGGAGTCACAGAGAGCTGGGTTAACCCCATATTGAGATGAATAATCTATTCCAATGGGATAACCCAATCTGGAGATTATATACAGTTAACCCTCTGTGTGAATGGTGGGCAGACTGTTGTCTCAGGACCTCAACAGTCCACAAACATATTTTCCAAGAGCCGTTTGCTTTTGTTCTTGGCTTAGTAGGACCTTCAGATGAACAGTGGAAGTGTGTCTGGGAGTGTGTCTGGAAGTGAGTGTGTGTGTGTGTGTGTGTGTGTGTATGTGTGTGTGTGTGCGTGTGTTTCTTATGAAAATAAGGATGATCTTGTGTTGGGCGTGTTCAAACCTTTACTAATGTATTTACTCCTTTAATAATCTAGGCAGCGTTTGTACATGGATGAATTGAGTTCTATGTTATGGTCAGTACTGTCCTGTATGTGTGTGTACCCACCCACTAAGATGGTGGTCTGTGGGGGGCCAGATGGACACCCCTTTTGGCCAGTCCATCTGCAGGTCACATGACGGTACGTAAACCATGGGATTAATCTGTGTATGTGTGGGTGTGTGTGTGTGTGTCCATTGAAGGGAGATTAACATCCCTGCCAGGAGTGGAGCCTCCGGTCATCTGCCTGTTTTATTAACCACTCACATTCCACTAATCTAACATAATCTCTTTTCACACAGTCACAATTAGGCTCAATTTTAGCTCAGACCGAATGACAAAACACAGAGAAAAAACTCAGTAAATTCTGGTCAAAACATGATCAAGATACATGTCTGTGTTTCTGTGCATGTGTGTGAATCAGTCTTTTCTCTGTGTGATGTTAAATCAGGTCAGTGTGAAGCCCACCAAACATTCTTGGGCTAATTTGTTTACAAAACCTCACAAAGCCCCTCATCCTCAGTTGACCCCAGTCTTTGTGAACTCTCAATGGCCTTTTCATTCACAGCACCATTACAAACTCAGTGTGTGTGTGTGTGTGTGTGTGTGTGTGTGTGTGTGTGTGTGTGTGTGTGTGTGTGTGTGTGTGTGTGTGTGTGTGTGTGTGTGCGTGTGCGTGTACCTGATTCTTCAGCATTCGTGGCCTGGACAGTGAGAACATGGAAGAGAGTCCACACCCCACAAGGGTAACGTCTGAAGTGGGGTTGTGAACCCTGACAGCCCACCCACCTCACTCCTTCAGGCAAAGCGGTGTCTGGAGACTGAGAGAGAGTTAAAACAAACAGACAAACACAAACTATGGATGAGTGGGAAGAAACAAACAAAGGAAAAAGCTTAAAAGCATAAAGCTGGTGATATTTTATATTTTTCTTACTGTCAACAAATCCCACAAAAAGACCAAAACCAGTTATGAATTGATCCTGCTAACAGCTACTGCCTGTGTAACAGAGCCTGATGTAGCTCATTCACTTGTCTTACAGACCTGCATTGTTGTCCATAAACTATTAAAAACACACGACATGTTCTTTTATTTTAACGTGTAGTACAGATGTTTCCAAACACAGCCCCACAGCCCTGTCAGGTGAAATCAAGTACCCCGTCAATTCATCCACCCGTCATGTTCCAGATCTGTTCATTTGGATAGTCTTTAAACAGAATGTTATTTAACTCCAGTAACTATATAAAAGCAGACATTATTACTGTCAGTGTTTATGTTGGTTTGGTTGCTTTGTCCATTACATTTAGCTATTTAATGTTACTTTTACTATGAATCCATTATTTTCATCTAACTATTTCAGCTGTTTGTCCATTATACATTGTCCAGTACATTTTTAATACGTTGGAAAGTACTGAGAGACAGGCCAATGCATCGTTGGTTTTGGTCTTTTCATGGGATTTGTTCACAGTAAGAAAAGCTTGATGTTTTGAATTAGACACAATTCCAGAGATCCTCTAAAAAGTAGAGCTTCCCCAGCATCTCTTAACCTGTTCAACTTAATGAAAGCTGCTCAGTGTAGTTTTCTTGATCAATGAGAAGTCAATCTCAGGTTAATGGCTCAGCCCTCACTAATGAACAGAAGCTATCCAGATCTCTAACCATGAGCCTCAGTTGAATCCAACGACATATTTTCTCTGACATAAAGTCGTTTCTCTCACCGCACTGTGTTGCCATTGCTGGTGTGATTGACAGGGTTACTCACATGTCAATAGTAAAGATTTGGTGTGTGTGTGTGCGTGTGTGCATACAGAGTCCATTTCCTCTGAGGCGAAGTCTATTCATACCTTCCCATTGATTCATTGATCCATTGATTTGCCTGCTAAAAGCTAATGATGTAAGTAAGTGACTCTTTCAATTTGCAAGGGGCTGCGTACTGGAGGCATGCAGGCTTCATTCCAAAGACAACAGCACATAGATTTTCAGCTGTATGTGCTGGCACTGCCACAAGGACAAAGTACATATTGAAATACCTAGATATTTATCTTCGGAAAAATATGTCCTTATGTACTAGTACTGTGTGTTTTTGACATTTCTTTGACAGAATAGGCGTCACTTTGGCGCCTCTGACGTGGTTTTGAACTGATATAGTGACCAGACTGACAAGTGACCTTGTAGCTCGACGAGGTTACTCTCAGACGGACGTCCTCACATCAGTCTGGGTGCATTTTGTGATCACCTGTCCTCTGTTCTCCCTACAGCTGCTTATCTGTCTAGAACTCTCTTGTCTCTCTTCCTTAGATGACTGCCTGCTTAGGCTTACAAAAGTCTGTTCTCTTTCTCGATTTGAATGCATTTCCTCAATGCAGTACCTAATGGACAGACCACTTCTGAAACCAATGCATACCAAACAGGGAACAGACAAAAAAGAGTACTATGAATAATTTTGACAAGAACAAACAAGAAGCCCCAAGTTCATTGCAACAAGGATGTATATTGTCAAAATATCTGATAGTTGTCTGTACGGCTCCGTCTTCACTTACCTGTGCTGAGTTATCCAGTATCTCTTTAAACGCATCATAGGAAATCTCACCGCCAATCTGGTTCTGAAGCCAAGAGTTTACAGACTTCAACAAGTTCATCACCACAGGACGGCCCGGAAAGTACTGCAGATGTAGAACAGCAGAGCACAACGGAAACAAATGTTAACTTGATTATGGTCCAACAAATGTGTACAAAGAGAATTACCAAAATTGTTGAGGGTTCAAGTCTGTTGATTGAGGAATTGATTAATCTACTAATCATTTAGCTGTAGGTGTGTGTGTAGTTTAATAAGAAGGAACCAGAAGTCCTGTGCACTGTCACTGATGAAATGCTATTGACTGAAATATAAATATAGTTTTCATCCTTACACACTTTACATTACCATTTTATGGTTGCCAAGAGCTTTGCTGAACTTTTCCTGGTATGTATAGTTTATAAAATCTAACAAACAGTTTGTCTTATAGCTTTTACAAATACAGTAAAAGCTTTACGACCGTGTTGTGTTCCATGTGCTAATATTAAGGTTAAAGCCCTTTAAATTGCTCACTTTGCCAATTGCATACCAACATCTTAATACACATAAAATGCCAGTTCAACCTTCAAAAATGTTGTGCACAGAGTCTATGTGCTTCACAAAAGTTGTGCTTGGGAGTGTTTTTCCTTCTCAGCACATTTAGAGAATCTCACTAAATGTGACAACAGTTTGCCTTAAGCCTTTTCCTTCATTAAGATCCATTTCCTAAACCACTAACAACCACTTAGCCACCCTCTACTCGGGCTTTGTCCTGTTGTGTATTTACTTCTTTTCAAACTAGCATTACCATGGTAACAACCACAGCTGGGAGGAAACTTGATACTGTAACTTGCAGAGGAAATCCAGCTGATGTGTGTTTGAGACCAGTGATGACAGAGTGAAGACAGACAAAGACAAACGTGTCTTTACACATACAACACTGACAAAAGACACAGATGATGTCTTGAGTGCACTGACATTAAGAGAGAGGAGCACTTTGATAAATTTCAGCTAAATGTGCTACCTATCTTTACACTAAGCCTCTGTGTGGAACAGTTTATGATAATGGTCCTGTTTCCAAGAAATAGACACAATAAAAGGATCAAGCGTTTTCCAAAACTTAAACAACAGGCCCACTTCCATGGTAACTTTAGTTTTCTTGCTCCTAATCTTTAACTCCCTTTCAGGACAGAATGAGGAAAATGATAACTTTGAAATTCAACATAGTTGTGGTGCATCTGAGGAAAACAGAAAAAGCAGAAGACAGAGAGAGCTAGTGTCATCTAACATTTGGCCTCCTCCATCTGTTCAACTAAAAACACCTGCAGACACTGACACATATGCCTCTTAGTCCACAGCTCAGCCGTCTATTCATCGCCCCCTAACAGGATCTGTGTGTTACACCCTGACCACTTAGCTAGACCCCCAGTGATTTGCTTAAACCTTCTTGTCCAAGGCCAAGACAGTACTGCTCTGTCCTGCGTCCGCTCTTGACTCCTTGCAGCAATTTTTACCTTTCTACTACTATCTACTCAACCTGCAGAAAACTGTCTTTTGTGCTTTTCTCTGTTGAAAAGTTAAATATGTTTTGTGTGTTCAGAGGTTACATATCATTGCTGTCCAGTGAATACTATACACCTCCAACTTTGGAGATTTTGTATTTTTCAGAAAAACACAAAGATTTTGTCGTTTTTTTATTCTGGATTTAGAAAATTGATCTACTTTCCAACCTACATAAATCCTTAAAAAAAACTATTTCCTATCTCATGAGAAGTTGACGGTTTTGAGATGCATGGTTTTTAAAGTGACAATAAGCAGCTGCCTTACATAACTAAGAATCACAATCAATCACAAGCGTACTGGTCATTACAAATGAATACAACAAGAGATGAAAACTACTTTGCCACCACACACACACACACACACACACACACACACACACATTATTGGGACCAGCTAACAGTTGACAAGGCCGTGGATCCCTGTCCTATTGATCATTGATTATGTACTATTATGGATTTTCATTCTGTTTCAACAGTGACGATTTTTAATTTTACCGATGCTAGATCTCCCCCTACATCTTACTCACATGTTGCTGTGTTACTACACCCTCTGATGCATTAATACTGCTGTAATACTGTACTGCAGGAAGTAGTACTGCATGTCAGGATGGTGAGGAATAGGCAAGTAACAGACTCCAGACTTAAACCTCATGGAGCTGGTTTGAGTGCAACACATTGGTGGGAACGTCTGCAACAATGTGGGGACAAACTTTCCAAACAATGTTTCATTTCCATTGTAGAAAGAAACCCATGAGTGTGTTCGGCTGCTGAATGAGTCAAAAAATTACATTAAATCTAGGATTTAAGATTCCATACATTTCACACACACACACGCACGCACGCACGCACGCACGCACGCACGCACGCACGCACGCACGCACGCACGCACACACACACACACACACACACACACACACACACACACACACACTTAATACTTAAAGGTGGGATGTAAAGAACAGACAAAAGCTTGTGCAAAGGCTTGTGATGTCTGCTGCTCACTGCTGGGAGAGTGATATAATAGGTTTAGGTTTGGATCTGGGGTCTGAGCACCAACCAGTCAGAAAAGCTCATTAAGGAGTGATATGAATTTAACCAGAAGAGAAAACACAGGTGTTTCCCGCTAATGGACTTAGCCCAGCATCACCAAAGCAACACTATTCATGAGCTCTCTGGGTCTGGTGATCACCTAAAAACTAAAACAGGTTCAACTTTTAAAATGTATTATCATTGGCACACCATCTGTTTTCTTTTACACTGATTCCTGTTCCTGTTTTTTTAACCTCCCTCTCCACTTCCCTGGTCATGACTATCCGTGGTACACAGCACATTAGTCACCATATCTACATCAGGTATTAGCTGTTAAAAAATGACAGAATGTTGCTTTATGTGCCAAAAACCACGACAGTACTGAATCCTTTCAAGCAACAGTATTACAATCAGAATTTAATTTAACAGATTTTCCGAGGAAATAATGCATGAAAATTTAATGTCAAAAATAATTATTGCATGTTATCTATATTTAAGATGAAGTCATTTGTTCTTGTCTCTAAAAACTGGTACAGAATCCATTTAGGGTTTAGTAATAATCAAGAAAGGCACTAATGATGCAGTGTTTTTTTAGACATCTCCATCTGCATCAGCCATCACAGTTACGGTATAAGACCAAGTGCAAACCTATTGAAACATAAAACTTTGTGGTATTCAAAAGCATGTCATCTGACACAGCCAACAAAATGACACTCATTATTGGCTAAAAATTGAAAACCAAACTCCACTGATCACTAATGATCAACTAGAATTTATTTGAGAAAAAATACATTTTACCTCTTCTACTATACATCCACTTCTCTCTCTCTCACACACACACACACACACACACACACACACACACACACACACACACACACACACACACACACACACACACACACACACTAACCCTGTACCCCTCCTGCCCCCAATCCCAGTTGGACCATGACAATCCCCTTCACCCCGGCAATATGTCATCCATGATCCGATTAGTATCAGCAGCACTTGAGAAACCACAAGCTCCTTGTGGTGAGGGTCCCGAGAGGGACGCATCTGTTGGCCACAACAGGGCACACCAGGCCAGGCTTGGGGACGGAGACAGGGGTGAAGCCCCTTGGTAATAATCCAACTTCAATCCACCCAGGGAGGCGTGAGGGGGATGCTGCAAACACGTGCCACAGAGTGGAAACCAGGAAAACCTCATATTTACCAGCACAAATTTACTTGTTTTCAACGGTCTCTGAGGGGAAAGTGCAACTGAACAGCCAAATGACTCAACTCATTCTTTGAGAATTGCTTATTAAAGCAGTTTTATGATCCATAATTAAACAGACAGCTGATTTTATCTAGTTTCATCTTTGTTATAAAAGGCCTTTTTGTAAATCAAGTCCTGAGCCTTGGCATGAGATTGTCCATTTAGACCAACCCCCCCCCCATCCTTTAATTCTTTGTCTTATTCCCCTGCCCCTCTGGGCTGAAGGGCTTCTTTTAAGAAAAGCAGGATAGAGGTGTAATCCTTAAAAACCTCTCTGTAATGCTCTCATGCTTCCCAAGATCCACTTTTTTAATCCTCATATACATGTCGAGAATTCATAAATCCGGCTTCAGCCTGACAAGACAGTAAATCTAGTAATATTGTGACAGGGTGGGGATAAAAAAAAAAAAACAACCCTCATGTTTACGTGTTTGAATTGAGATGCATAAGGAGATGCAACGGTGGGATGATTATGGAAGGCAAAGACACAAGCAAATCTTGGAATTAAAATTCTTGGACAGAACAGGGATTAATTTTTTAGGCCAGGGTACGAAGATGAATACACAACGGGGACATATAAATATTAATTTACAGAGAATTTGCATGTCCTCAAGATGCACTAAACATACATGTAGAGCTTAAATAATTTGACAATTGACCGGAAATTTACAGGCAGCTATTTTGATATTAAAGTCATTTCAAAGAAAAAATGTCAAACATTAAAAAGGATTTAGCTTATCAAATTTGGGTATTTGGCTTTTTCCTGGCTTTCATCACAGTAAACTGAATATCTTTGGTTTTCAGACTGATAGACAAAAATTTGAATACGTCATATTGGATTCCAAGAAATTGTAATGGGCATCTTTCAGAATTTTTTTTTATAGACAAAACAATTAATCAAGAAAATAATTGTCAGATTAATCTCTAGTGAGAATAATCATTAGCTGCAGCCCTGTAAGCATGCATCACCATAGCAAAGACACACCCTAATGCATGCAAATGCACTTTCCACTAATTGTTCTGTTTGGTTAATATTAAAAAGTATGTCATGGTTGAGTAAATGTGTGAGCGGTGACACCCACACTGTGGTCAAAACATCGTGAGTCACTTTCACTCTAATCTAATCACATGACTCATGCAGGGAGTTCAGGTGTCACATTTTAACATATTGTGTTAGTAATTAACAAGACAGGACAGTTTAGCAGTGAGGTAATTTCCACAACCAATCAACACTCATTTAAAAATAAATGAAAAAAAAGAGCCAAAGAAGTTGAGCATTCACCTAGAAATACATTTCATCCCCTGATATCTAGCCCATAAATTGCATCATGTAAAAGCTAAATGTAAAAATGTGTCATAAAGAATAATTTATATTACACCAAATTGTATATGAAACTGGACTCATAAGCATTTCCTAACAAGTATCAGCCAAATTTTTTCCACCCTGTTTCACAAACCACTTGCTCATCTTACATTAACTGCTCCTAACAAGCTGACTGACAGAAAGGATTGAGCCGCTTTGTTGCTCTTTGTGTGCTCAGTCAAACATCAATAAGGACTGTCACAAGTCGCAGTCAGCTGCAACAAAATGACGGCCTCCTCAGCTACACAAAGCCCTGCTGAGCCAGGCTGGTCCATTCTGGTAGGGGGACAGGCTAAAAATACCACTGGGACCTGCCGCTATTGACTAAACAAACTGAAGCTAATGGGAGGCCACAGTGCTGTGTCGCACACACGCGCCCCTCATACACACACATGCTTGGATACACACTAGCTTGATACAACGCCTCCCTAGAGAGTGAGATATAATCAGAGAGATTGGTGGCAGACCAGGGCAGTGAGACAGCCTGGTGCGTAGCCAATAGGGACAGGGCTAGCAGGTCAGGCCTCATCATCACAACATGTTTGCCTGGGTGGCACACTTCAGTGAGAAAGGAGGAAAAGAGGGAGACAATGTTATCAGTAACGAAAAAAGATGGAGGAAAGTGAGAAATAAGAGAGAAAGACATTATTAGATGTTGATAAAGGGTGAATAATCAAACAAATATTGAATCCTAGAAAAATGTGAAAATCAATTGCATCTTTGTAAGTGGAAACTAGGGGGTGGAGAAAGAAGGGAGAAACAAATTGGGAAATAAAGTAAGGGAGGACGATATTGAAAAGAGAATGGAAAAAAGGCAGAAGAGATGGAGGAGGCAAGAACCAGGGGGAGGGAGGGTGTTTCGGTGAACCGCTGAGGATTGGCACGGTCACAAGTATTTACAGAAATGCTTGTGTGCAATCAAAAGCAGGGATACAGCATGAGGAGAGAGAAGAAGGAGGAGGTGGAGTAGTGGTTGGGGTATCCCAGCGAGGTTTGCTAAGTAAACTGAATGCATCTTTGTGGGCGGCGAGTGGGTGGCAGCCACGCTTCAATCCCACTGGGAGCCCACATCAAGAGGGTCAACAATACCCAGGAGAGTCTTTGTGCTGCTGCCCCAGTCAATGGCATCCACTTCTGCTTTCAGTAATGTGTCTAAATGTGAGTGTGTGTGGTTTAAAACAACAGTGCACTTGCCAAAACAATGAATTTGCTTAAATTTGCAGAACAATCTAATGGATACTAAAGGAATAAAACAACATGTTATGAAGAGGGAGCCCTGGCTGAATATCAACTACCTACAGTATGAACAAATATCCTGCTAGCTCACTCTCCACCTAGTGGCAACCTGCTGTAACTACACTTCTGTTGTATGTGAACGTTGCAATATGAACACAGTTGCATCAACTTCAAGGCTTAACATTTTTTTTTGTGTGCAGATTGGTTTAAATTTATTTTCTCTTTAGTTTCCTATGCATCCAAAAGCTGTTGTCTTTCTTGACCACCACAGTAAACATTATCCTTTGGTGACAAGGGCAGTGTTTCTAATGACAAACAGTGAAGAGAGAAATGGGGAAGAAATGTAAACGAGCTGCTTGTTATGCACCGGAGTGCCTCCATATGAGACTAAAAAATATTGTTAATGTTTGACGTTTGCTCTGCAGATGCGATTTCTCACCCACGCTGTATTAATGAATTTGTTTTCCACCTGTTTTTATACTCATAACCCAAACAATGAGCTTTATAATCATTTGGTTTACACGTTTTGTGTGTACTGTATGTGTGTGCGCAGTGCTCTCGCTGCTAACGTCACCTCAGCCAGGACAGCGATGTACTTCTTCAGAGCAATCAGGGCTTCTCCTTTGATGACGGTGTGAGCAGCCACCTCCATACGTAGGGAGTAGTGCAGTGTTGACTCGAGGTCTGCCATATACACCCTGGATCTGGAGACACAATCACACACAATTACATATATATAAACATAACAATGAGCAAACAGAGATAGTTCAGCGTGGTGTGTCTTGTTCATACCTGTTGAAGGGTCTCCAGGGGTCCTCTGTGCTGTTGGTGAGGCCATCTGTGGTGACTGGTGGAGGCTTTCCTGACCGCACCACCCCCCGCAGCCTCTGGAGGGCGTAAGAGTAGAACGTACGAGCCTCAACCTTCCTGCGGGAGAGAGGTACAGGTGAGACCCATGTTATATATGGCCAAAAGTACATGGATATACTTTTTTTTGTATTCCTCATTGAGGCCAGACTCCTTGGTTTCAGCTGAGGAAAGTCTGAATGTTAAAGCATTAAACTTATATTCAGACACTAGTGTGCAACTGTTTGGGAAACCCTTTCCTGTTTCAATGGGACAATTCATGAACAAAACAAGGTCCATTGAAAATCAGTTTGTCGAGTTTGAAGTGGAAGACCTTGCACAGAGCCCTGACCTTAAGCCCATCCAACACCTTAAGGATGAAGCCCGACATCAGTGACTGACATCAGTCATGCACTTGTGGCTGAATGGGAGAAAACTGCTGCAGCCAGATTCCAAAATCTTGCAGAAAACCTTCCCAGAGGAGTGGGGACTGTTAAAGCAGCATCACAATGCTCATGGTTTTGGAATGAGATATTCAGCATTCACACATGGGTGTAATGTTCAGGTGTCCATACACTTGTGGCAATATTAAGTGTGGAAGGTTCCAATCCTGCAGGGAACCTCAAACAAAATGCACAGTTTTTTATTTATTTTCAACCTTTTGTTTCAGCAGTCCACTTCCATAAAAAGTGTTTTATGACCTGTATTTTTTGTGGCCATATATTTTACACACTTACGGGAATGCATTTTAAATACTGAGCAGATGGTGCCAGGGCAGCATGGAATTGAGAGAGAGAGAGAGAGAGAGAGAGAGAGAGATCGCTGATCATTTAGCCATGTGATAACCCCTGCAACTAGAACCACAGCCATTAATGTTCTCTCTCTCTCTCTCTCTCTCTCTCTCTCTCTCTCTCTCTCTCTCTCTCCACCCCTCACATCCTTCTCTCATTTGCTTTCTCCCCTCGTCACAGACAGCGAGAGAAAGAGAGAGGGGGAAAGGGAGAGAGAGAGCATTGTAAAACTGCAACAGGATGGTAATAAGGACGATGGATACTCCGCGCCCACGCTCACTCACACCAGCCCGGGACTCAATTACACCTGCGTGTCTGGTGGGAGTGTACAGATGTGAAGGGAGAGCCATTCATCCAGCAATCCCCAGGGCCGGCGGGCAGGCAGGCATCAGGGTGGGCTGGGAGGGAATGCATTCACCTGGGACCAGCACACATTACATGCATGACGGATGTGAGACGCCCCTGCATGCTCTCTCTCTTTCTCTCACACACACACACACATGCACACGCATGCACACACATGCCCGTACGCACACACACACACACACACACACACACACACACACACACACACACACACACACACACGTATGCACTGCACACTCTGCTCTCCCAGGATCAATCAGACATTCAGTGATGATGGGAGGCCATCTGTCGCCGTGTGCGGCTGGGGCTTGTTTGGCAGGTGAAGCCAGAAAAGCAATGGCATTGTTTTCATGCAAGAAATTAAAAAACCTCCCCTCTGTACAGTGATGGAGATGAGGGGGGTTGGAAGGGGAGAGATGGAGGGTGAATAAATAAATCGGCAATAAATCATTTCCTTTTTGCATTTGTCAACTAAAAAGAGTCTTCTTTGCATGCCAAGTTATTGAAACAGCCAAACAAAGAGGCAGAAACAGCAGATGAATTTGCAGGGTGAGGAATGATCAGCGCCGCTTTATGATAGTGAATAATGGGAGCAATTTTGATGCTCTGATCCCATTAAGAGGCCAGATGTTTAAAAGTATTCTCATGAATAGGGTTCAGATAATGAGCACACGACAAAGCTTTTCAGGAGGAAGCAAAGTTGTTGTGTGTGGAACAATAGGAACCGAAGGGGAGTAAACTTGGTGTTTGTGTGTCTCACATCAAGCTAAGATGAATTTACTGTAAAAAGTTCGAGATACCTGGTACAGAACATAAAAAAAAAAATATATATATATATATATAGCTCTCAATTTTCCTCTTAATTTAAAAATTGAGGCTTTTTTGAGGAGTACATTGAAGTGTGGTTTTCACAGTTTTAATAAGTTGTAATGGCCCTTTTAATTTGTCCCTTAAACCATACATATCATCCAGATGTTGAGTCCAGCAGCTATTTTCAACAAAGATTCAATAATATGACATTTAAAAAGCCACACAGGACATTAATATAGGCTGGGAGGACATGACCAGTGGTGGACATTTACTCAGGTAGNGGACTACCCACTGACCTCTTTTTTTGCAGCTGTTAGATATTGGAAGCCACTATAAATTAATCATGTCCTGTTAAACGTTCATATTCCAGCATCAGGAAGAGACAAATATCTAATTTTATGATATGGCCAATATCTATATATATATATATATATATATATAAAAGCAGCTCAGCTCATGTTCCCCTCACACGTCCTAATCTCATCCACCCACTTGCTTTTAAAAATGTTAGTTCCTCAATCTAAATTGAAACTCTCTTTAGCTTCTTGGTTCAACCTGCACGACTGTCTCTATTGTAAATGTTTCCAATAAAAATAGGGAAATATTTGTTCAGGTGAATTGGTTCAGTTCAATATCAGGTGTTGTCTTATCTTTAGGTCAGTAGTTAAAGCTTTGTGTGGAATTTGCAAATGCAGCATTACAGACAATGAACAATTGTGTGTCAACTGGTGTTTGCAGCGAAGAGCAGAACAGTAACCACACTGTTTTTCTTGACATTTGTACCAGTGCACTATCATGTACACCACAGATAACAACAGCCAATACTTGAGATTCTTAAGTAAAGATTAATTATGATGCACTAATATTAATATCATTATCACAGTTTGGCTCCTATCTGGCCTCCTTTCATTTGTGTGTTTATAAAGTAGGTTGGTCGTTTTAAGGGCTGTTCCACACCAGTTGGTGAGGAAAGGAAGTGCACAACAAAGCCTTTAGACAATGAGTCTGCACCTGTGCTGACATAGCCCTCATTGTTAGTGCAAAGAACAAGGGAAAAACTTTTCAAATTCTGTCTTGCCATTCACAAATGTTATTTTGGAGGAGCACATAGCATAATTCTCTGCAACAATGGCCTTGAACTTCCTTTTCATGGTTGTGTTTAAAAACACAGAACGCTGTAACACTAAAAGCCCTGCACACCCTTGCAGGTGTTTTCCCCTTCTGGCTGATTAGGCCTCCTTCCAGGTCGATGTTGTAGAGCGCTACTTTGAAATCATGTGACATCACCAAACTGCTCGTGCCAGGTACAACAATAACAGGTAGAACAAGATGTCAATCAAGCGCAGTCTGTACACACCCAGACAATTCAGAGGACGTCTAATTAGTCAAATTGACAACACCTGTGCGGGTGCACCATTAGTATATAGGTCCTTCAAAATAAAAGGAACCATCACTTTGTTGCAAACTAATTTTGATCAATAAAGACAAATTAACACAATTTTTATATGATTTTTTGGGGGATGTTATACATTTGCAAGAAAAAGTGTGTCATATTAATAATAATAATAAGGCTGAACAAGCAAGACATAACTATGGTGAGTACTTCCCACAGTTTAGCAGTTATTTTATACACTCCTCCTTAATGTAGAGAGCCCTCTACACCTGTGTGACTTTATATTCTGTAGTGAAGAGTTAGTGAGAACTATCCTATCTCGTTCTTGTAGTTTGTCCATATGAACAACTGTTACTTGTATTAACTGCTGTAACAACTGATACCTGCAATGAAAATGTATCGCCATCTTCCAGCAGGGGAAGACCTACCAGACAATAAGTGTTTATAAAAGTAAATGGAAAAAGTTTATTGAACAGGTGGGTGTGAGTGAAAGCTTTTCAGGATTAAAATATATACAGCATGTGTTTCAAGGATAAAAACACAGATGCACAGATACTCACACTTTGAGTCTGGTGAAGTTGCCTCCAGGATAATAAAGGTAACAGGATGGGAACTCTGTCACTCCCAGTTTGGTCACCAGACCCTCCTCAGTGTTCAGTACCCTCCGCACTGCAATGTTCTCAAACTGTAACAGGTCCAGGGTTAGCTGAGGAACACACACACACACACACACACACACACACACACACACACACACACACACATTTGACTGTTATATTTCAATATTCTGATGTTGTATATTATTTGTGTTAGTAATGTTCAATTATTTGCCATCAAAAAGGTTTTCTTTCCAATCAAACACTGTCCCAGCAGATTTCACCACCTCCCTCCGGATTATGTTGCAAGGTCAGTCACAACAGCGTTTCGCAATAGTTACATAGTGATACACAGATGACTGGCAACTTTTTTCCGTTTAAAAAAAAAAAAAAATCACATATCTTGTGCTGCCCAAAAAGACATAATCTAAAAAATCTAGAGACGTCTGACACACACAGCTCAGGCTCATGGAAACTCAAGCTGTTACCTCTCGGCCAACGTAGGATTGAGCTTCTTCAAAGATCAGGGCCAGGTGTTGAACATTGTTTGTCTCAAAGAAGCTGTCAAGCTCTGCTTCACTGGAGAGAGGAGCAGACAAAACACATTAAATGAGTAACACATACTCTAACTTGAATCCCACACACACCTTTGGTTCCAAACATCACCACTAGAGCTTAAGTGGATCACCTGTTGGTCCAGTAGAGATCCAAAGGAAGAATTAAGTTAGTGCAGAATTTTATGGACATACTTCTTAAAAATTGGGATGGGATTATTTCATTTAGATATTTTAAGTCACTCTGGCTCTGTCCTCTATCTTTACACTTAAAAACATTGAAACCAAGATGTTCTCCAGCCTGATATCTGCTTTTACCTATGTTTTTTTTTCTACTTCACAATTGTTATTTTGGTTGAGAAAAGAGAGGAGAAGTTGCAGTTAGGAATCTCTGTTGTGAAACAAGGGCTCAATAAGAGGTCAACCTTTTTTCATTATATACAGAGGAAAAAAACAAGAAAACTTCATGATTGTAAAAGAAGCAATGATACTTTCCATTTAAAGCTAAAAAAAAGAGAAATTAACTTGGCTTCCTGCTTCCTTTTCCAGCACCATCATCATAATAAACTGTATGTATGCAGTTTATGCATCTGATGACGTATGTGGGCAAAGCCGGGTGGTCTAGCAGTGATGACCTTCCTAGTGGAAACATGCTGGTCCCTCAGGCTCTAATAAAGGACTTTGAACTTAAAATAGACAGACACGTTCAGACTAACAGACTTGTATTTATTGAGTAAAATAACAATAATAATAATAATAATAATAATAATAATGATAATAAAAATCATCTATCATCTTACTGAAGTTGTGTCTGTGTCTTTACCTGGTGGGCTCCAGTGGAGGGCAGGCAGGGGGCCAGGGCTCCGAGTGGGTTTCTAGTTGGTCTATGATCTTGTGACGTAAACCTCGAACATCACGGGGAAAATCTGGAGGTCAAAGGTCATTATATTTTGCTGTTTGTTCTCATTTTGGATTATCATTCAATGAAACATATCCATGACTGCCTGAGCATGTATACAAACTACTCCCAGGGTTAGGGCAATGTTACTTAAATGTGAAATTAATGGTGCACAGTTACATGCTGGAGTCGACCTAGGCCTAATAATAAATAGCAGTTCAACTACGTGTCTGATAAGAAAATGATCAGTATGTACTTTCCTGCTCTGACATGACGCCTGTGGAAGTGCACGTTCTCTGTGAAACATAATTTAAGGTGGAGTCAAATAACTGGCGGCTCCTTGAATTGCTTCCGCGTACCTCTGAAAGGCTTTCCTGCAGAGCCAGCCTTGGAGTAGGCATGGAAGAACTGTGAAGTGAAAGAAGAGAGAGGTTTTGGGTTAGGAAGGAAGCAGAGAGAGAGAGAGAGTGAGAGAGAGAGAGAGAGGGAAGTGAGACCGGCTCAGACGGGCCTCACACGACCATGAGAGAAGCAAAGTGATGTTGTGTAATGTTTGGTGGGGGCACCGCCTTCCCCTCTGCCTGCCTTGACCTCTAAATCCTTCCTGGTTAAAATGAGTCGCAGATGTTAAAGCTCCATTGTGAGTTCAAACAGAAGGGGCTCTTTGTTTTACTGGCTTTCACTGGATGACAGAGAAAGCAGAGACCTTAACACATACTACTGCTGATCAGTCAGACTAGCTACACATACACATGTTGGAAACTAGTGGGCGTTTTTTCCAGTGTGACAACTGATCATGCAAAAGTGAACTCTACTGACAACACACCGTTGCATCGACAGTATCTGTCAAAATTCTAATCTGAAAATTCAAGAATGACACGTAAACTCACAAAACACAATAACAAATAACAATAACACAAAATTACAACAAATACAAAGAGAGTAAGCCCTAATAATAACTAGTTTGCAAAGTCGATCTTACTGATTTTGAATTTATTGAATGACAAAAGCCTGGAAAAGAATATTTTGGCACAATTTACATAAACTACATCCAAAAAATTCTGTTCAACTGATAACAAAGTTTCAAAGCCAACACTTTTTTGCAATTAATCAATTGATCAATTAACCAGCCCTAGAAAGCTCAGTGATAAGCAAAATCAATTCAAGAACCTATCGTCTAGTTAGCAAAACACACATACATGAAGTAGTGTAATTGAGTTTGTACTGGCCAACCAGGACTGAACAGTTTAACTTCTGACTTGACCATTATAACCTACACGCAAATAGACTTTTTGTTCCCACACATTCTTGTACATGAACACTCTGCATAACATGCAGACCAAAATCAAACATATCCATGTTTTTGAAAAATATGGAACTAAGTGAGACAATAAGATGGATGGGTTTTATCTACTTCATTTTGCTTTCTTGTTAATGTCTAAGATTGAACAATATGTAACTGAGCTTTGGCAATAATGCAACATCAGCATTCATGCCAATAAAGATGTTTGATACGATTTGACACAGTATGTGTATAGAGTATAGAGTTCATATAGCTGCACTGTACGATACCTTTAGGGTAGGATACCCTCTGATGCTGTAGCTGATGCAGACCTTCCTGTTCTCCTCTGCAGCGCAGTCCACTGCTGCCAGGTCCACAGCTGGCTTCCACTCTGAAGAACAGACATCAAATAAAGGGAGAGAGAGCCACAGTAAATATTTAGTGTACTGTCTGCTGCACCCTGTGCAGTTTAACACTGGATGGGGTCGTGTGTTGTCCTGGTGCCAACACACACTTGAGTATTTCAATACATAAGAGGTCTGTACACCAGTATTGTTAAGAAAAATCCTGAATGTGTATTTAATGAACTGTTTTTTAATATATATAATTATTCAGGAGGTGCTTCATCACTTCCCCATGTTTACTTTGCTATTTATTTGTGAATGAAGGTAACCAACTGATCACATATAGTGTTTCTGAAGAGCCTTTACGCCCCATCAAGAAGTTAATTGTTGCTGATACTCATACACAAGCTCAAGGTTCACACAAAGCCACTGTTATCATCTGCATATGTACCTTCTTTCACTTACAGTCCCATAAAATTTCAGCTCTCCTCACTCCCCCAGCTCCAGGGCCAGGCATTTGATTTGCATGCCAAGCTGTCAGTTGCCATTGTTGACTGTGTGTGTGAGACTGAAATACCCCATGGCTGTGTCTCTGATGATGGCAGAGGGCCATCATCAGAAACTTTGCCCTTGACTGTCATCCTAATTATAATGATTCTCATGGTTCTGTGATATTTCATTTGGCACATGAGTTGCAGAAACAAAACTCGGACGTGATGGAGAGGTACAGTGCTGAGCATTATAAAAACACTTTCATTAGATCACATGCTCTAATTAACAGATACAGACAGCAGCTTGGTGCTCTCACTGTTTGCATGGATATCATAAAAACTGCAGGGCTATGTAACTTTGGTAACTTTACAGTTATACACCAATGAGCTATAGTCTATTATTAGTCCTAAAATGTTGAACTGTGAGACTTTTGAATGGCTTATCAGAGGTGCAAAACTTAAAATTGTTTACAAACAATGCAATGTAAAACATGATTACCGCTTATGAGTGATTATACTGGACTAAAACTTTAAATTAACTTCCAGCTAGCTGCAGCTACGTGACCTGCTCAAGGCCCGTGTACCAACCTTTAAGGTCTCTGGCCAGACTTTTGTAAACCGGAGAAAAGGCGATGCAGTGTCCGCACCACGAAGCGTAAAACTCCACAACTGTCGCTGCTGTGGAGTTCAACAAAACCGACTCTACATTTCCCGGGGTTAGCTGGACAATCTGGTCAGAGGCGGTGTACAGTCCGGCCTCCACGGCGGAGGGTAAAAGTAGACAAAAACATAACCAAACGGCAAGTGTTGCTATTTCTCTGCTATATAAAGTAAACCGAGACGTGGCACGGCCGCAGCGGCGCGCCATCTTCCCCGTCCGAGCTGCTGCTGCTGCCGCTGCTGCTGCCGCCGCTGCTGCTGCTGGTGGAGGTGGTGCTGGTGTTAGCCGCTGGTCTGAACGCAGCAAGTTTCCACCTCAGTGTCACAAAACTTGACACAACTTTTTCTCCCTCTGTGTGTTGCAGGCTTCATGGGTCCTCCCCCTGTGGAGCTACTAATTCCCTAAAAAAACACCAATCATAACAAAGTAAGACACCCTCTTCTTCACCGACATGCATTTCTCCCTTTGAACTTCTCTGATGTGCATATGAATGATGAAATGAAGGCGATACAAAGTGACGTGCCAGGAATAGGCAGGTCGGTTTTTTTTTTCTTTTTTCTTTTTTTTTTTTTTTCTTACTACACGACTGTCATACAGGAAATCACTATTATTGACTATATTAATATTCCCTTGACTTAAATGTGAAAGTCTATTCTTCACCTCGGTAACTACATTGACAACAAACAAACAAACAAATAGATAAATACATCTAATTGAAAAAGAAACTTTCTATGCAATAGAAGCAGAAACTAATAGCTTTTATTTTGACACACACGCACGCACGCGCGCGCGCGCACACACTCACACACACACGTCAAAATAAAAGCTATTAGTCTCTGCTTCCATTACATAGAAAGTTTCTAAGAGCCCAATCACCCTTTTTTGTTATGTTTCTTTGGTCACTGAAACAGCAGGTATAAGATTAAGTGGTCCTTATATGATTTTATTTCAAAATGAAAGCTCATTTCATTGCATTGAAAAAATTAATGTCCAAATCTTTTTTGGCCATGTAAATTACAGTTAACTTCATATAATTAAAGATTTTCCCTGGTACATGAAAAATAAGTCATTTTGTTTCTTAGTTGATCTTTCTTGAAAAACATATAAGGCTAACAACACATTTTTGATGCAAACAAACTGTTGCCAGCACCATGAACCGTAAGTGTTTTTAGCCCTTATTCTTGAATTAAAATGATCTGATGATCCTGATGTATCCTAATGTTTTCTATTTTCAAACATTGGGGAACAGTGAGTGTTATGCCTTAATGTGAGCTGACACAGTTTGACTCTGTCCTCCACCCACATTTAAACATTTTACCCTGATGTTAAAATTATGAGAAAACTAGCTGACACACCTCAACATGGTTTAAGTCACATACCTAACAATTAGTGTGAGGAGAGGACGAGACACTCTGACCTGCTATCATTACTGTAAATACACTATATGGTAATTACTTTTGCATACTATTAAAACCAGAACACATTACCAGACAGCATGTTCCTTTAGAAACAATGAAAGCTTTATTTACAATTTCAAAGTTCATTTAGTTAACAAATATATACTATGTACATATTTGCAAAGTAAACAGTGTTTATTTTACAACAATCGTTCAGGTTACAGTAACAGCGGGTCAAGATTGGAAAGACAGTATATTTACACCCATAAAAGAATTGTACACATCTTCAAGTGCACTTAGCGTACACTCACAGAACATTATTATAAATATTCATAAACATTTCAAAAGATGAAGCGGGAAATATAGCCTGACTGGGTTAATTTGATGATCAAATCTTTTGTGCCTACGTTTTAATTCGGTTAATAGGATCAGACTACACATGTTATTAAAAGATAAAGTTGCTCTGTCTCCAAGTGAAGGAAAGCAACTCCACCCTACGCCAAACAGCTTCAAGCTTCTTGAAGATTTATTTATTCTATAGACTAACAGCAGAAGTCTAAGCTGTTTGGTCCATACATATAAAACAATGCATAAGACCAAGTACTGCATAGTTACAGAGGAGAACTTAACTTCCTCCCACATACAATCAAGTCAAGAGGACAATCCTAGAGGGTTTACAATAAAGCCTTGCAGAACATCTTTCTAAGGGGCTAATCAAGTCACCATTACAGTTACATATGCCTACAGACTGGACATACAAGTCATACAGCATGGAGAAATCGGTATCAAATGTTTTTGGTCTTTTTCTACATTATATAATTTACAGCTTGAACTTACACCTTAGTAACTATTAAAACATTGACGGTAGAAAAAAAAAAAAAACATTAAGTACTCAGTTTAAGGTCACTTTAGCTCCAAACAGTCAGTCAGTGAGGATGAACAATATCACACATGCTACAATGAGTTTGTACACAGTTTGTTGGATCAAAGCAGCGCTGACAGAGAGGACCAAAATAAGCCCTTGGATACAGTCCTACGTGCTGAGTGTCATCAGCTCAATGACTCACTCTGTGCAGCCTGTGGGCTGGAGCCGTTACGTCTGTGTGGAGTGTCCACAAACTAGTTCCTGATACAGTTTATCAATAAAATGACTCAACTGTGTCTATATGCACAGATATGGGGGTGACATGGTAAAGGAGCAGGTAACCTTTTGAGTGAATCAGCGTTTCTGTTAGCATTACAAACATTTCCTCAGGCTGAGGCACAGGAAAATGACAAAGTGTAAAAAACTTTGTCTACTACACCATGCTGATAGAGAAAGATCTATAAGGCAGAAACTGAAGTATTGGTAAACCGGTTAGAAGGAAGAGCAGTCATTCAAGGATCGTTTACAAAATGGTAGTATACAGCAGTTGAAAAGAGACATTCAAAGAAAATAGGTCCAAAGGATGCTGAGAAATCAACAAAGTTTGTTACAACTAACATAAAGAGGCACTTAAACTGAACATTAAGGGAGACTACCTCTGCTGTCTGGCTACATTCTGATGGCTGCTTTGAACTTGTTGACTACTGTAAAGCCAAATGTTTCACAGCAACAACTGGAGCATCGAGTCATGCTGCTACACGGCTAAATGTTTTGTTTGGGTTGCTCCACAATGTTCAGCTACAGAAACGTGCTCCAGGATAACTGATGACCAAACAAGACAGCCAAAGGTGTCTCCTCAGGTCATTGAAAGTAAATGGACTGTTGAATAAGTAAGGCTCAAATCCAGCATTTCAGTACTGTCCTATAATGTGATACTAAAAATATCAAGTCAAGCCAACTGCCAGTCTTTTGTGTCCCACTTGCATACTATATATTAAAGTGTGTTTTGAATATGTAGTGTGCTCACACAAACAAATGAAACCTTAAAAATGCCAGCATGCACATTAAACTATCTTGATTTTTTGAGAGTGACACTGATGGATACGTTCCACAATGTGGCTAACAGAACAAAACAAAACAAAACAAAAAAAAACCCAGAGCTGCTGACAGAGAAAACAAAAAACATTGTATTTCCCTTAGTAGCTGTATGAGATTTTTTTTTTTTTTTTTTAAACGTAAACAATGGTACATAGTGCTTCAAAATATTAACATATAGTGCAGAAGTGGGACACAAGATTGTGTTGACCAAACAGACAGTTGTGGCCACAACAAAATCATACAGTTTCAATTCATCCATAACGCTACAGCTTTTAAATACTAAAAAAAGATTTCCCCAGGTTCTTTTTCTGGTTTCAATAGCATTCTTTAAACCTCCTCCTACATAATGTATTGCCATATTCACATTCACATTTCTGTTTGTGCTTTTACAATATTCCATTAAATTTTCTTTACACAACGTAAAAATTATCTTTTATCTATATGTTGACAAGATCATTTACAATTCTCAATGTTCCTTTCTCCTCTAATTAAACATTTTCACACAATAAATAATATAATTAAGGAGGCAAAATGTTTCATACAATATCTGAACTCAGTGATGTTCCAACACAGTGCGGTCTGAAAGTATTTTACGAGTGACACAATTTCAATGTTTTAGATGTCCTCCAGCACACTGGATCTTAAATTCAACTATGATTATGAAGTGCTGACTCTCAGCTCTAAGGGAGTTCAGAGGAGGGTGTTCATCCCCTTATTGTGTGAACAGTGTTGGTTTTTTTTTTAAATACACATTTTCCCCCAAATTAAAGGCAATGCGGCCGGACAATCATGCTAAGGACAGTCAAAACATACAAGCAGTTTTTAGGGCCACACAGTCGAATGTACTTGACCGTCACAGCCAATTGACCTCAGTCCAACTGAGCATGTTATACTCGCTGAAGACCAGACTGACAAAGAAAAGTCTGTAAACATTTTTGATTTAAGGCAAGCTCACAGTCCTTTAAAATGGAGGTGTATGTATAAAAGGCGATAATTCCTACACTTTTCACCCAATATGGGCATAAAAAAATCACAAATTAAAGCTAAAAGTTGTCCTCATAGTCCCTATTTAATTTCAATGTGCTGGATTACAGTCAAATCAACAATGCGTCACTGTCAAATCACAGACTACACTGTGCATTCTTTTCTGCTATTATATTACAAGTTTTGAATCCAAATATATATTTAAGATCCAAAACAAAATATGAGAACCTACCTTTGTTCCAGGTGGATTTTATATTTTAGTGAAACAATCATCTTAGCAGCATTAATGGACTTAAAATGCTAACAAATGGCACAGTCCATCTTATCAAAACATCTGCTCATTCTCCAACTGGCATTTACAAAAGGACCAGTCCAGGAGGTGAGAACTGAGACTAGATGGTGTTAAGGTTTAAGGATTGCTCAAGAGGCGTTTTGTGTGTAAAATAAATTGTATAACCACTACAGTTAGCTGAAGCAAATTCAGCAAAATAATGTCACAGAAATTAGGAGGAGTTGAGAGTTGAGAGGTAATGCTGGGATTGAAGGCATCTGAGGGTTGCTGTTGGCACATCAGCTGGTGGAAGACCGAGCAGCGGTAGGTTGGCTGAAGCTCACTGGGGTGAGGACAGACTGGGATTGAGCTAGAGGTTGTAGTTTAAAATCCAAGCAGGAACAGTGTCAGGAGAGGGTGTCTCTTTTGGCCCTCTTGTCATAGATCAGCGTCAGCACATTTGTGGTGTCCTTCAGCAACGCATCGAAGATGCTGTCTGCCAGCTGCATCTTGACAAACAGCTCATCCTCGTCGTAGTTGACCCACTGGGCCTCCTCCTCATGGAGTTCCTGAACCTGAAAGACAAACAGGGTTCACCTCTATAGCACAGCTACTAACATCGGTTGTTCACACTGCAGTGAGTAAAGTGGAAACATGTCACAACTGAAAGTTTCAATGTCAACTTTCAGTTTTATGCAAACATCCCTCGGGCAATTAGTTTCGAGGCTGAGCAACTTATGTTGATACTCACTTACTAGTTGGAGTGAACTACTGGTGACAAGTGTTTAAGCTGGATAAAGTTCTACTTCATACAAACTGATCTGAGCATGAAAAACTAAATAATCCTCAGTTGAAATGTATCCATGTGTTGTCACACATTACTTTCACATTTAAAGAGAGAAGTACAAATGTAATGTATCTGTATTAAACTTGACCCATGATAGTGATCTTGAACAAGTGCATTACAAGCGCCTACCATTTATTAAGTGTTCTGTCCTGGTGATGTAAAATTTTATTCCCCCATATAAAACTGCTGCGCTTTAAAATCATGTACAAAATAACCCACACATTTAATTTTGGGACCTACCAGTATGTGATCGACTCTGTCCCGTTTCTTTCTGCCAAACTTGAGCATCTTCTGCCAGTCAGTCTTCTGGCTATGATTGTTTGTCAGACCGTACAATTTCAGGACTTCTGCTGCGATGAATTCCTGGTCAACAATGTAAGAAAATAACGTAAGTCATCACATGACCATAGTGGCCTGTAAAACTGCACTCCATAAAATTCTCTGCTAACCAGGGCTAGTCACTCAGGTAAAGAAAACAACCAATAACAATAAAACAATAATATCGTAAAATATAGGATGATTAAGTAAGAAGTTGGGTATCTGGCTGTTGTGAGTGTCTGTTACAGTTTGTTGGTGGTGATTGTCCTGGAGTACTGTACCTGGATTTTGGTGATGTCTCCTGGTGTCTTTACTCTGTGAAAGATGGAGGCCTTGACTCGCCGTGCTTTGACCCACTGAGGCTGATCAATGTTGGGATCTTCAGCATAGATCTCCTGAATGATCTCCCATGTCAGGTCATACACACCCTATAGAACAACAGAGAGTAAATAAATGGTAAATGGACTGCATTTATAAAGCACTTTTCTAGTCTTAACGACCGTTCAAAGCGCTTTACACTACTAGTCATATTCACCTATTCACATACACATTCATACAGTGCTTCCTATATACACAGTGCATCTCTATCACACTCACTCATTTACAGATGGTACATCGGGGGAAAATCGGGGTTCAGTATCTTGCCCAATATAGTGTGGACTGGAGGAGCCGGGGATCGAACCACTGACCCTCTGATTGTGCTGACTGCTAAAACATGTCATATTAAATAAAACTGGACAGGATTCTCCGGTTTCATAATGCCATGTTAGGTGAACATACTGTAAATGCATGAGATAACATGTCAAAATGTCAGCAATAATTACTGCTCAAGAGCATTTGCATTATTTGGATTCAAAGCAAAGCATCTGACCAACTGAGACAATGTCCGAATCTGAAGTACAAGCACAGGGATATGTCACAGTTGTAAGCCAAAGGCAACTGAAGCATCTGTGTAGTGTTAAGAACATTAAGATGCTCATCCGAGAGGAATCTGCTGAATAATGGGAACTCGCCTGGCATTTAACCTCAGTGGACCCATTTAGATTAAGTGCTGTCTTCAAGATTATACTGCGAGTCCAGCTGCGTTTGGCTTAATGCTACTGAAGCAGGACAGTTGTGTGCTGATTTTCACAAGCATGATTGGTAGGGGAATGAGAAGTAAGCCAAGTGTGTGTCTTGCTGTTCTGTTATGTAGATTGCAGTTTTAAAATAAAAAATAAACATGTATCTAGCTAACTGTGTGGTTGTTTTTTCTACATAGACTTCTTTTTTGATGTTTTGCAAATTCTTTTTTCACCTTTCTGTAGCTGCAAATGGAGAGGGCCTCCTGGTCCTGGCTGTTGGCTTCTTTACCCAGGTACTCTTGTGAAGGTTTGGGGTTTGGCAAATGTGCAAGCGTCACTGCTCCCTCTTTCCCCAGACCATAACTCTCCCAGATCTCCTGAGTAGCAGCGTGGACCATCTTCTCCACCTCTGTGGCCGAGTGGGGCACAACCATGGCGGGCTGCTCAGGTAGTTTAGGAGGCAGGGGAAGAGGTAGCTCAGGTCTAGGTGGAGTCTTTACCTGTTGTTCTCCACCTGGTGATGAGACCAGCCCCCCCATAGGAGCTCCAGCTGATGAGCCAGACCTCCCCGGCCCTCCTCCTCCTCCCAGCCTCACCTCTTCCTCTTCCTCTCTTTGTTTCTGTTTAAGCCTCTGCTGTTCCCTACGGGAGCTGAGGCCAAAGTCCTCATCAAACCAGTCCTGATCGTCACCCAGCTCATCCAGCAGTTCACGGCTCAGTTCCAGCTCTGCTAGTCGCTTGGCGAGCTCCTCTTGACCGCTGGCCCCCAGAACTGGACTCTCCTGGTACGAACGAAATACAGGGAAAAAAATATTTTCATACTCTCTTTAAAGCTTAGATTAAAACATTAAAAAAAATTCTAATCTAACTGCACCATGACCCATTATGAATCATGATTTTACACATTTGATCTAGTCTTAAAGAATATTCTTTCTACTAATGTTTCAGACAGCAAAGAGCAACAAATCCAATAACGTCTGTCAACATAAAGTTGGACTTTGGATGAACACAGCCCGAAAAAAAGGGTCCTCTAGGTCAAATCATCGAGTGCTGTTTGTCACTAACTTGATTATCAACATTATCAACACAGCTCAATCACATAACAGTCCAGCATTATCACACTTGAAGAATTTTTTCTTACTGACATTTCTATTCAAATTTAAATTACCAAACACATGGAGATAAAATGCTATTTTCCTGTAAAACCTTCTTTTATTGGCACGTTAATGAACAATCAGAAATACACACTCACCGGTCGGTTACACAGCTCTGGAGAAGACAGCTCCTCTTTCTCTACGGGTAGGAAGAAAGGTAGACCATCTTTTTGTTCCACTGAAGAGAGCCACTCCTCTTCAACATTTTCACCAAACAAGTCTCCATTCATCTGGTTGGCAGCTTCTATCTTCTGCTCTTTAGCCTTTTTAATTTCGGCAAACTGCTTCACAGTGTCTTTCACAAAGTTTTTGAAGAGCTTGTCTGCAAATGTGTCCAGTAAATCTGTGTCCTTCTTTTCCTCTTTAACATCCCTGATATCTGTGCTAAGATCTGCAGGAGGAAACTGGTGTTGTGAGTCCATATCTTCTCTCTCAACAAAGGTTGTAATCTCCTTCTGACTCTGTTTCCCCAGGCCAATCTTGTCCATGTCAGAGATGAGGAGAGTGGTTGGTGCATCGTCAAATTCCAATATTATGTCCCGACTGTTGCCATTAGAAATGGGATGCTTAGATTCTTCGTGATGCTGTGAATTGAGGTGGGATCTGGCCTTCAGTGAGGTCTGGTTCTTGTGAAGAGTATCATCTGTAACCTTTTTATCTTCAGACCCAATGTCCTTCTGAGATGTTTGTTCACTTTTACTCTCAATATTTCCTTGTTTTTGATTGTTTTTGTCCTCATCTGTTTTATGTTTATTCCCACCTTTATCTGACAGATCATCAAAGAATGAGTCCTCATCCTCTGTGGTGTCTGTGTAGATCTCAAACTTATCTGGGAGGTGTGTGATTTTGTCTGGAGGAGCAAAGATACCGTGGCGCTCATCACATTCAAAGTATACCACTCCATCATAAGTACCATTGTTGCTCCCTTCAGACTTATCTAACTCCACACCAGCCCAGAAGCCATTGGCAAAGCTGGTTGGACCTTTGAATCTCAGAGTGCCAGGCTGAACACTGCCGACAAGAACCCGATCTCCAATGTTAAAACTTTGCATTTCATCGATAACAGGAGAGAGAGTTGTCTGCAAAGGAGAGATGGGTGGTGAGTGGCTGAAATTCATGCTCTTATCGTCATGTTTGGAGTCTTCTTCTGTCTGCTTATGGAGATCTAGCAGTCTTCCAGATTGTTGGCTAGGTTCACTTGTGCCAGAATGGTGACTCAGCTCCTCAGCTATTTCCTCCTCTACCTCCTCATCTTGGCTGTCATATGATGAGGCTCTGCTAGGGGAGTCCATTCCTGAACCTTTGATTTCAATCGGGGAACCTGAGATTTGAGAGTCAGGCTTGGAACTATGATGCTGCTCCCTGGGTGACGAATCAAGTGATGACTCAAAGTCATCATGATAACCATCTGCCAAGGGAGAAGGGGCTTCAGCATCCTTTATGGGTGCCTCCTTCTTTGAAGGGAAGGTGACTGAGTCAGGGAAGCCAGAGGGATCACTTGTTGATGAGCTGTAGCTTGGATGTGGTGGAGCTGAATGTGACTGGGTTGTAGGTTTTCCCACATCCTCTGCTTCAGAAGGAGAATATTGATGTTCTCCACTCACAGAAGAGGAAACATGTTTAGATGTTAACAGCTTCTCCAAGGAGTCTGGTCTGTCTTCCGTTTCTAGTTTGAGGAGACGTTCAGTGTATTGATCCAACCTGGAGCTCACTTCCACCTCCAGCTCTTCCTGAATTTCAGATCTTTGATCAGACACAATGTTCTCATCCACTGACTCAATAATCAGTGTGTTTGTTTCCTTGGAGGAGGGTCTTAAGAGATCCACTGTGGACTGCTGGCTCCTCAGTCCTGAGGTTGGACACTCTGGGCTGCCATACACTGGGGTCGGAGTGACAGTTGGTGGGTCTTCATCAGATAATTCTTCAGGCACCGAGGTGGATCTACTATGATCAACTTGAGGAAGGGCATCTAACATAATAGGAGAGAGTCACATTATTATTGTAACAATGCCGTTATGATGTATTAGTTATTTGTGTATAATTATATATTAGTATGATAGTATGATATATTTATATGAATCACTCACTATGGTCCAAAGAAGCATCAATTCGTGTCCTTTCAGAGTCATAGACTTGACTGGTTTCAGACCTAAGAAAGAGGGATCTTTATAAACTGATCTTATTTAATTCATATTATAGTAAAAGATGGGCAAGCACCAGAATATGGACAGCAGCTGATTTTGGTACCTGTGAGTAGGTGGCTTAATACTGGACTGATCTGCGACTGATGTGGAATCCTTGATCTCGGACTGTGTATCAAGTGTTGAGTCTGGTTCCTTGTTCAGTTCTGCCTTAGTTTTCTCAATGAAGTTGTTATAGGTCTGAAAATAAAAAGGAGAGAATATCAATCATAAATGTAATTATACATGGATGAATAATCACATACACAAATACACAAACATGTAATCAGACAATGAAGTTTAAACATCTAAAAAAAAAAAACAAAAAAAAAAACAGCCACCACTAAGCCAAAACACACACATTTACCTCCAGCTGCTTCAACAGGCTGGCCTCCTTTGCCTTCAGGCGCTCCTTATGCCTCTTCCTCTGTTCTTTCTTCAGCTGGTAGGCCATAAACTTTCGTTTTCTGAGTTCTTCCTTCAGGGCCTTGATACGAGACTCTATGTCACTCTGGTCTGAAATGGGTTCTGAAGGAAAATTTAGATGATAAATCACAGTTAGAATGTGAAACCAGTGCCAGACCTCTGATTAGCAATGGGTAATCCAACTTTGTACCCACTCAAACTCAGTTCCAACACAGTTCTTTGGGGATTAGTGTACATATTCTTTACCAAGAATGTGTGAAGTTCATTTTTGTGCATGTAGCTTTGGTTAGCAGACAATGAACAAATAGTATTACAAAGATTAAAGGTTTAAACAGTGGCCTAAAATGAATGAAACATTCAGCTACAATTCTAGGCCAGCAAAACTGCCTTTACTTGTGTGATAACTAAGTGCAATGCAAAGTGTTCTCTCCTTCTATCACACAGCTAAGCAGGTTCGGTATCAGGGAAGTGCTTGCATAATGTATTCCTGGCAGCATCACATTATGTCTGACTACATGGTGCCAGCAATATAGCTGCATTATGTCAACTCTCTCTTCTTTACTCCCTCTATCTTCTCTGAAAACTATCAGGAACTATTATACCTCCAAAAACATGATATGTTAAGATTGTGTGTGTTGAGCCATCGGCTTACTCACCAGTCTGCGTGGCCATAGGTTCAGTTGGCTGAGTGCGGGCCTGGTTACTGGTCCGGGAGGAGGAGCGAAGCTGCATCTTGGTTTTGCTGCTGCCATCTGAAGGAGAGGCAGCAGGGCTGTGGCTGCCTTTGAATATAGAAGACTGTGCAGACTAAACAGGGGGAGGAGGGGAAGAGAAGGGAATATTACTTCAGGATATGACAACAGTCAAATGGATGGATAGAGGTGTGTCTGGATTAATATTTTAGAAGCCCAGTAAACTAACAAATGGGCAGTTACCCTACTGTATGTCTCTCACACAATGTAAAGCTTTGTTTGTTTTCAATAGATCATTGAAAGACTATAAAACTTGTAGTTTGTAGCTATATTTACACTCAAAATGAACTCATCTACTATCAAACAGATGGGATTAAAGACTGAAATACAAAAAGGAAAGATCATCACATTTATACATACTTGTCCGCTCGATGATGGTGAAGCTGAAGCGAAGTCTTGGGTGTAATTTGCAGGGCTGCTCTGGACGGAGGCCAAAGGTGTTTCAGGGACTGACACAGGTTGTGGTGAGGAGAGGCTTCCTGGTTGCTGGGACCCCAATCCCTCTGTGTGTATACTGGACTCAGGTGTTGCTGAGGAGCAGTCACCCTCACTGACATAGTCTAAAAGTTTAAACACATAAATATTAATTGTCTCCCCAAACCACAGGATGTATCCTACATTGCATTTCGAAACTCAATTCCTTGTTATATATATATATTATTTTATTTTAAACCTTGCAACAGCTTGCCATACACCTAAAAAATGAAAGAAACCGGTCACTTCACCTTTCTCACTGTCAGTTCTGGGCTCTGAGCTTTGATGATGACTTGGGCTAATGTCAGAGATCTCGTTTTTCTGACTCTCTGACACGTCATGATCCTTGTCCCGAGGCGTCTGCCGGTCCCAGACAGCCAGGGCCTCTTTCTCCATCCTACGGACCTCTGCCTCCTCCTGGTCCAGCCGCTGTTTCCACTGCAGCAGTTCCTCAGCATGGCGACGCCTCTGCATCAGCTGCTGCTCCCGCTTGGTCAGGAACCTGGGGAACGTAACGGTAAAGATGAAGGGAAAAAAAGAAAGGAGAAATGAGAAAAGGAATAGAGGAAAGATTAAAAAGGGAGATTGTAGATAATGGTGAGGAGAAAAGAAGATGAAGAGAGGCAGGAAGAAGATGGGTGGGGAGGGAAAAGATAAGGTGACAGTGATGAGGGAGAGAAGAGAAGTTGACATTTAGCATAAGGGATGGTTAACATGGCCTCGCAGAAGCAAGCAGACCCAAATCACCTTGACATCTAGTTTTCACAGCAAACTCACCTCAAACATCTGTCCAACACTCAGAGAAGCAAACACACACATACACACCCAATCCATGCCTAGAATAATCATCCAAATATTGAAGTGTACAAGCACCCATTAAATTTAAGACAAAAAAAAAAAAAAAACAAAGACAGGTCAACCAGGAGAAAAGAAGAGTTGGAAAATTATAGTGAAAATGTCAGATTCATGCAGCAGACTGGAACCCAGCAGTTCAACATTGATTGGTTGCAGCCACACACACACACACGCACACACACACCCCAAACATATTAAGCAGTTACAGGAGATCGAAAAAACCCATGGACTGTTACATCTGTATGAGTGTCTCTTTGAGACAATGAGACTAAAACACAAGGGTTCTGTTGTTTTGCAAAGGCAGAAAAATTCAACTTACACTGGGTCACTTATATATACATACTGTACATATATCTGCAGATGCCTATCAAAACAAAGTGCAGTCAGGTATATCTGTTGTAATGGGGTCTCCCACAGCTATGGGTGCCATTACAGTGCAGTATTATTTAGCCTTAATCTAATTTAGAGGCCTTTCTCTTGACCTAATGTATACTGATGACAGGCCAGATACTGAAGAGTCAGAGTGGGGAGTTCTTTTAGTGCATTCCCAAACTGTATTAAAGGCAATGGCCATCTGTACTTATTATCCCATCCTAAGCAACAGTTACCTAATAAAGAGAGCTAGTTAAGATTTACTGAGCTCATTAAAGAGATAGACCACTCCATCTCTGGTCTGTTACTTCCAAGTCATAGTGTGATTTAATCTGAAAACATTTTATATCAATAACAATAACCAGCCAGCAGCCACAGGAGGAGAGGGGAGATGCACTGCAACTCATTTATCATTTATTCCAAGAGGCAAGAAATAAAGGGGGGAAGAGTCACAAATTAAACACCGCAGAAATTAGTGAAATCCCAGTTTCGAGTCTGAGATTTCCATCCAACAAGGAAGGCTCCCCTTAAATAAACATAACCTTTGACCTTCTTTTTTTTTATCTCTATTTATCTGAATTTTTTATTGTTTTACACTCAACCATTATGCTTTAATACCTACAGTGGTAACATTGCATTATTTACATCACTGGCAACACAAATAGTGAAAATTAGCATAAAAAATATTTCAAATTGAAAGTGAAGTTGTCAAAGGATTAGCTTATTTCAGTCAAGCAGCTTTCCTTGGGCACTTTTCAAACTTTCACTCAAAATCTTCCCACCACAAAGTCCATCCTGGAAGTTAAAAACTTCTTGAAACCTCACAGAAAACCCAATCAAACTAACACGTCCAATCACTCATCATTCACCATCCCACCCACAAAGGGTCCCCGTGCCAGTGGATGAACACAAGCATGTTCCATGGGGTGGGAGGTGAGGCAGGGCAGAGCTAGGTGGAGGTGCTGAGGAAGAGGTAGAGATCACTATACAGTACCTGACCAACTGGTTGTAGATAAAGAGCTGGAATTTAGGGTGGAGGTTGGGAAGACAGACACTGAGGGAGGCCCAGTGGTGGGCCGTGAACACAGAGAGGAAGTAGTGGACAGGAGAGCAGTGTCTACAACATACAAGCACGCAACAGACAAAGTCAAAAGTGTCACACAAACGCAGGTAAAGACAGGTACAACACACACACACACATACACACACACACCCACACACACACAGAATCATAATGTAGGTGGAGGGGGGAATTAACAACACAACAGACAAGGGGGGAAAAGACAAGTAGAGAGAAAGGGAGAGAGAAGAGCGATATGAGCAAATGTGGTTTTATTGCACCGAAGGTGTCAGTCTGTGAGGCTTCTGTTAGAAAATGGTGACTTTTAAATGACAGTTTTGGGAGAAGACGAACATTTAAACTAGTGTGTGGGCATCAAGTATGGGGAGGGTGGGGTATGATCACTGCTGCACCTGCTTATGGAGGGGCTTAAATGACAGATTCTACAGTAACCTTGATTCTTAAACAAATTTAAGTGTGAGGTAACAGTTACAGCTTTAGATGGCGATTCTAACTTTGTTAGTGTGTTTAGCTTGGATCAACAACACAAGTGTTGACAGACAATGACAGAGGGAAGGGAAGAGGCACTTGATAGTTTATTAAAAAAGGATCATGGCAAGCAAGCAAGCTAGTAAATACATGATCAGACATAAATAAACAGTAAGTTAATATGTTTTATGTTTGATTATATCCTGTTAATTACTTAATTTTGCAGCTAACTCTGGTGATTTTAAACTTCTGTATAAAAATGAACAGAAGCAAATCAAAATTATGTTGCTAATTGCATTGCCAGTATAAATTAAAACAAAACTAGACCTAAAAATTGCTGAAATGCTACCATGGTATTGAAGATTGGCCTGTGATTTATTAACTTATAAATCCTAAACCCCAGAACAATTAACCTATTTGTTGGAGCGACCCGGTCATGAAAGGCTCTAACAATCACCTGACCAAAGCCGTTAGCCGTGTCTAAAACCTCGGAGGCGCTACAGGAACTCCAAGCATGTACAGTAACTGGTCAACACATGAGGAGGTTGAGGCAATAAAAACGATGGCGTGCACACTTTAAATTGGTCTTATCTAGAAAATAATAATGCCTCTGTAACTTAAAGTTTCAATATTAAGATTAAATAGTTACATTTATTTAGAACTTAAATTTTGCCTGATGCGCTTGCTTTATGACATTTGTTTAAGAGTGCATTAGATAACTTTTAGTACAGATCCTCCTATAAAATTACTGTTATAGGCTGAAAAAGTTACAGGGAGTATTGTAGTAGAGAGTGTGGATGCTTGTCTAGTCTAGAGGGAGAAGAACATGGAGCATGCTTATTTTCACATCCACACATTCACAGCACTTTAGACAGCAAGCAAAGAGGGCATGCACCGATATGACTGTTAGTTAGATTAGTTGCTTCTTAATGTAAAGACACTTTGTATAGAATTTGAAAATGTCTGACCTTTTTGATCATGGTAGAATGAATTTTTAAACAGCACAGTGCAGCACTTAATACAGAGCTTTTCAGCTATTGAACATATCTAAACTGATAACTACTAATTTTAATTCAACCCTGGATATGCTAAGGCTATAGGCCAAGTGTGCAGTGTATAGCAGTGTTATGTAAGGAAATAGTTAAGAACAAAGTCTGTTTCAGCACATACTCTGTGTTTGGCCCCTGGTTGTGATCAGTGGCTAAAAATAAAATAAAAACTAAAAAGGTGAACAAAACATTGGTATTCAAATTATTTGTATAAAATAAAATAAAATGAAATGAATGAAATAAGCAAAACACAAGGGGGATGAATGGCAGCAGGACACTCCTGCAGAAAGTGCTACTAAAAACAGATAAGGAAGCATGACGTTTGATATTTTGCTGGCAAAACTGTCAATGAATATATGAAAAATGAAATGAAAGTCTTTACTTCTCATCCATTTGAGTGCGCATCTTCTTAAGCTTCTGCATGATGCTGCTAGTCTCGCTTCCAGAGATAGAGAGCGAAGGAGAGGGGCTGCGGTTATCAACAGCAAGTCTTATGTTGGGGGAGGCTGCCTCTGACACTGGTGTTTCTGACACAGGAGTCTCCTGCAGGATGTATAAACAGACACACTCACAAACAAGCAAATAACTAGTAAAGCCAATTAAAAAAGGCCTTAAGATGAACATGGCAGCATGTTCTCCAGTTAAATGTGTGTTTTCTTAAGTAATTTAAATAAGATTCAAATTCTGCATCACAAGCAATGGTGGATTGAAACCTCCTCTGTATAGTTTCTGGAGGTGGTTAGTGAATGCATTACTTACAGGTGGTGGTGTTTCACCCCCCGCACACTTGAGACGCTCCTTCAGTCTGAGTGTAGAGTTTCTCATCCGCTCAATCTCCTCCTGCTGCTTCAGCAACAGCTGCCTTTCCTTCCTTGCTGCTTTGTTGGCCTCCTGAAGTCGTTTGATCTCAGCCTGGGAGCGTGAGAATAGTGGGAGAGAAAGTTGGTTAGTTAGTAATGGTTAAGATCAAACTATACCCCAAAACTTAAGTGTCACTTAATGTATTTATGTTTCCACTCCAAGATACCTGCTCCTGCTGTAGTTTCATCAGAAGGCCCCTCTGCTTCTTCCTGATTGGTGGCATTTTGTCATCCTCTCCCTTGTCCCTCAGTCTCTTTTTCTGGTGCTCTAGCCAGGCCAGCTCAGTTCTCGTCTTCTCTTTGAGAGCCTTCTGCCGAAGACGCAGGAGAGAGCTCTGATGCTGCAGTCTTACTTCCTCGTCCTTCATGTATTGACGCACCATGTCCATGGTGAACTGGGAAAAGCTGTCCTGTCCACCAGAGAACGCCATGTTTGCATCTTGAGACTGCAGGAGAACAAAGGTGAAAAAGTTTAGATGCAACGCAAGGGACAAGTCAAAGGGAAAAATAGATTAAAGGGGGTGAGAAGGAAAAAAATAACAATCACACATTTCAGGGGATAAATCATACTGTCAGCTGTTAAATGTTTGTAGGACCACACTGCCTTCTCACCTTAAAGATATTGTGTGACCCTGAAACCAATGTTGTGTTGTGACTGGCACCATCATCCTCTGATTCGTCGTGGTTGCGGGACTTTTTCTCCATAGTTCCGCGGCGGTGTGCTTCAGACGGCAGCAGAGAGCGGAATGATCGCTCCTCTATCTCGTCCTCTGTCATGGACTCATCAAACTTGAGAGAGTACTCTGTCGCCACTGACGTACTGTCTCCTGGGGGACCACAATTAACATAAGCTCAGTGAAGACTAAGTTTTCAATGACACTCACTGTCTAGGTAATTTTAAGTTTTTTTCAGGTGCCATATAGAGTATGTGGTGAGTAAGTTTGGGCTTTAGTACGGATTAAATGACGACAATAAGGTTTTCACATTTTCTCTAGTTCTAGTGGCGATAACTCTGTTTCAGTGCGCACTTACTGTTGAATAAATACGATTCAAGTACTGGAGCGTATATACACGAAGAAAGCACATGTCAACTATTTAAACTCAGGGCCTTGATGACCATTCAGTACCTTTCTCATCCACTACAGAAGGGATGCTGTCACTGCAGAGGGAGTCATTTGCTGCTGTAGGAACTTCCTCCTCTATGGAGCTGTTGCCTGCTTCCCTCTCTGTCCTCCCCTCAGCTCCCCCCTTCCTCCATTTCCCCTCTTCTCCCTCTTTTTCTGTCCGATCTCTCTGGTCTGAGGAGACATGCGACGGGCTGTGGAGGCTGCTAGAGTCTGCTCCACTGTAGAAAGAAGAAAAAGACAGATTTAGTGTCTCTTTTGCTTTCTCTTCCCCAAATCTGAACAATGAAATTGGAGCTACATGAGAGGCCTGACTGGTACCTGAGGTTGGGTCTTCTGAAGGACAGAGAGTCAGAGTGACTGAGGCTGTTCAGCGAAGACAGAGGTTCCTCTGGCCTGGCCCTCCTGCTCGACACCTCACTGTGGAAGCTGTAAGAGAGCACGGAGAGGACACTTGATATATTTAGGTCAAGTACTAACTTAAGCTAAAACACATAGAGTGATAATAGAAGGCCACTTTGTCATCAATTTAGGAATACAAGCTGTGTATCATAACACACATGGGTCATAACAAAAATGAGATGTTAAAAACCATTCACAAGGACAAACAGTATGTATTGCTCAAAAAGTGGGATCTTTCAAAAGAGATGTGTTTTTACTTTACCTGTCAGAGTCAGCCTGATCATGCTGTTGCCTCGTATAAGAGCTCTCCTGTTCTTCCCGCTGGTCCAACATGGAAGAATCAGTGGCAACAGGGGGGACAACCAAAGCTCCTGCTATCTGCGACCGCGCCAAGTCTGTCATCTGACAGATGGGATTATACACAGATCAAGTATTTGATTTGGTGAGGCTTACATTGGATATTACGCTTTCCTTTTTTGCATTTATTGTTATTTCTTTACTGTAACTCAACAATCAATCAGCTTTTGTTACAAAATGAAGACACAGGCTGTTTTCCAGGCAGAATGGAAGGCAGTGATTGCTAACCTCCTTGATGTGTCGGGCAGTGTCGGCTGTGTACCGTGCTGCCTCAGCCTGTTGACTCATCATCTTAGTAGTTGCCTCCTGGAGGCCTTCCAAAGTCTCTCTTTGAGTCACTGCCAAACTTTCCTGCAGGTCTATATGAGCCTGGAGAAAACCATAGACACATATCATGCATACAGAAAAACAGAAGCAACCATAGCTTGGAAATCAAAAGGTGAGGAAACAGACACTGCATAGGTCATCTATAAATACACGTAAACTGCACATTGTTACTGAGAGTAAAGTAGCTGGTTAAGTGTGTGTGATCTGCGTGGTTGTACCCTGGCCACTCTCTGTCGGTTTTCCTCCAGCTGTAGCTTTGTCTCCAGGGCTTCTCTTTCAGCCTTGATCTTCAGTTCATAGAGGTCACGCTCATGGCGCTGCTGCTTGGCCTGCAGTGTCAAAGTTCACAAAGCAGTTCGATAAGTACATCAATACAGACTCATTACAGTGAGGCAGTAAGTCACTGAAATTTATAGAGGCCAAAAAAGCTCTTAAAAGTGTTTATCATGTAAATGTTATTCAGCAACAACAATTAGATCAAGTTCCTAATAAACAAAATTACTGAAGTATATTTACATTGATGAGGTTCATTATATAAAGGCTTCTATACTGTGGGGTCTCAAAGTAAATTTCTGCCAGTGAGAAATACAGTATAGCCCTGGTTGTCTCACATTATGTATTTAGTCTAGATGGTTAATATGTTGTTTTCACCATTACTAAGGTAAATAGAGTAATATTTACAACTGTTAGCAGTTACACAACTAAATACACAGCAGAGCATCTTTATTGTCCAGGTGAAGTTCCTACTACTACTACTGCTACAAAAATTGTACATCATTATTACTATTGTCAGCAAAAAACCTTTACCTTGAGCATTTGGGCCAATGACGCGCTCTCCTGCTGAGCCATGGACACACCCATCACCCTCTCCATGTCATCCAGTTGTCGGACTGACTCTTCAACAGACTCCAGGTACTGGAGCTCTGCTGCCATACGCTGCTGCAGGACAGCAGGTGAATACTGTAGTTCACCTGGGAGACGGGGAGGGTGGAGAGAGAGTATGCCTAGTTAAGTTAGATAAGCATCCGAGCAACCAGGCAGATCTTTTTTGTGTTAATTTAACAGTCTCTTCCAATTCTTTTTTCACAGTACTGTTCTGTGTCACATAATATCTGTTATTATATTGATGTGAGTATTATTTACCTGTGGTCCTGGTCTCTACTCTACCACTGCGAGCTGTGGTGCCTGTGTTCATGTTATTTGCCCCCAGAGAGCCACCTCTTACAGGCTCACTGGAAGAGTCTGCTCCTGGAGGAGAACCAGGGTCTGAAGAACATGAAGGAGAAGCGTGTTTGGGCCTGGCCGCTGAAGACCTCTTACCATCCAGTCCCAAACTAGAAATACAAATAAAAAGTAATGAAATGTTGATTATCACTGTGGTTTTAAGTTTGAACTAAATAAGATCTCTTTTAAAGTGGGTATGCTTTTATTATTGAGGTTGAAGGGGTTCAGTTCACGGGTTTGGGGGGGTTATACAGATGTCAGAGGTAAATGTAACACATAGATAGATATAGATAGACAGAAGCATATTAAGATTAAAGCATTATACAGTACTGACTGACAAAGCTGAAATGTGAAAAGCTGACATTTGATATGTAAAAAATGGTAAATGGTACCTGGTGTAACATACACCAATTGTAGGACACAGTTTTAAAATAGGTTTTTAAATCATGCACAGCTCAACGACAAGTTGCAAGCGCTACAGTGGATTGACCATTTCAAACAGTGATGCAGGTTGAGCAAATGATAAAGAAAGAGGGGCCCCATGGCCCTGCAAACCCTTGGACTGAATGAGGCAGCATAACCCTGCTGTGAGAGGCCCAGACTATGAATGGCTATATTGTGCTGCTCAGAGATGATCAGAGGCCAAGGCAATGTCTAACGAGATCATGATACACTCTTACTTCTCCATTAACAGTAGCAGACAGTGGCACCTTTCTTCCCCAATGATAACGATCACATTCAATTAAAAATTGTAATATTGATAATAATAGTAATAATATATTACCATGATCTTAAACAGATATGAATGCAATCCGTCAGAAGCCTAAAGGACTCGCTGACACCTATAGTTATGCATGTGCTGTCCCTAAAGAAATATTTTTTTTCTTATTGCTTTAACTCATTTTAAGTCACTACCAAAGCAAAACAAAAAGATGCTATGTAAATGCTGATACGGACACAATCCTGTCTGAATGTTTCGCCTTTAACAGACAGAGGCTCCACAGAATGGCAGGAATCTGCCACCTGAGCTTCAGAGTACCATTAGAGGGCTCAAATGTTACTACTCGGCACTGAGATTAAAAGAAAAAAAAAAAAGCGCTCTCCTTTCCTATGGCAGCAGGCCCAAGCTGCGGAGAAGCTGGCTGACCCGACCAACCACCCTGCGGGCCCCCAAAACAAAATAACCACTGTTTTCTGTCTTGGGTCGAATTGCAGCCTCCTCCTGTTGCTGGGCACTGCACGGCTGCTTAAACCCTCAGGCCCTCAAAAGAACAGCAAGCCACAAGACTGTTTAGACTGGCAGCCTCAACTTGGGCTCTCTTAGTGTAATTTAGCAATTGGTCATGCCCAGATAAATTAACCTTTGGGTAATTACAGTAAATACCCAGTGGAAGTTTTTGAGAGGTTGGAACAGCAACGACTGAGATGACCAAAGGCTGAAAAGATCCCATTCATCCCTGAGTGCACATAGATTTTAAAATTCCATTTTAGTTTAGATTGGAAATACTGTGTGAAAGAAACAGTGTGCTTAGTGTCTCTTTAAAAGTTCATTTCAATGTTACTTTAAACATATTAATGTGTATCCAAAGGAAAACTGAAGTTTATTTTAATTTATCGCAAAATATAATACATTAAAAAGCAACAGGAAATTAAGATATACAATCATGCTATAAAATTACCCTAAAAGATACAGCTGAAGCTGACCATATGCAGGCCACCATAAAAATATGCCAAAGTAAGCCAATAGCACCACCTATCTATTCCCACAAAGAAGTGTCGCACTGAAAGTTACTGAAAACCAGAGACAAGTGGATGAGTGGGTTATTCAAATTTGAAGGAACACCACTCAGCATCCATTCATATCTGATATCACTGTACATACGATTCAGTTTGATACCTTAGACATGCTCTTTACTGAAAAACACTCAGAGGAACCTTGCAGTTGTAAATGTTTTTTTGTCTTCAACTCTTACACCACTCAACTAATCCAAAAATAACAACCCCTTTCTTTGATGTAGACTCCCGAGGGTCATTACCTTTGGTGAGATTGCACTGACGTTTCTCCTAAAGTGTCACTGGAGTGGACACTCTTGGCCTGGCTGTGGGCAGAGCTTTTGTCTGAACCTCTCTTCCTGGAATTAGAGGATAATGCCTCTGAGGGGGGTGAGCAGGAGCTCCTATGCTCTTCCACCAGGGTGGCATCACTCTGGTCTGATGCTGTGCCTGCAGAGGGATGGAGTTATATTGTTATACTGTGCAGCAGAGGGATTTGTAACTGCAAAAACGCAGCATATGACCACACAGCGACAATTTCATTTATTTCCTTTTTAATTAAAACTAGAATTACTGCCTCGTGGTTGTATGCCTCCACCAATCAGCCAAGTTGCAGGAAATATGGTCACAATCTCCCCTTCCTGAGTTACAGCATTGAATAATGGCCAGCAGTGTTTTTGCAGAACATTATGATGTCACAGTGAAGTTGACCTTTGACCATATGGATATAAAATGTCATCACTTCATCGTCTTATCCTGCTAAATTGTATCATAATTAGCGTATGAATTTGTCAGTTATGGCCAAATACATGTTTTGTGAGGTCACCGTGACCTTTTACCACCAAATTGTAATGAGTTCATTCTTGAGTCCAAATGGACATTTATGCCAAATTTGAAGGGAATCCCTTGAGGAGTTCCCGAGATATTACGTGCACAAGGTCAAAACCGTATTTTGTGAGGCCATTTTGACCTTGACCTTTTGAGTACAAGTAAATGTTTGTGTCAAATCTGAAGACATTCCCTCAAGGTGTTAACGAGATTTCGCGTTCATGAGAACAGTTATGCAAAAATATTGATTCTCACCTCTTTTTCTTGTAGAGTGCTTAGAGAGGGGTGAGGAGCCTGACGGTGAACCAGAGGAAAGATGTGGTGAATGAACAGATGAGTGAAAGGATGAATGGTGGGAACTGACGCCTCCTGTACTTTTCTCATAGGGAGACCTCCTCATCAGCTCTTCAAAGTGATTGGTAACACTGACAGAGGGGAGAGAGGTATGATCAAATCATTTTTAGATCAAATTCAGGATCTTTCATACAACACAAAAAATAAACACATAGATACAGTACGTCTCATGTTTGTACTGATTATCTTAATTCTAAAAAGCCGTCTAGGGAAAATATGTAAGCTCGTGAAAACAAAGGAAGACTGCTGTCTTAAAGGGTTACATGAGCTTTCAATCTATGTGACATGGATGCCATCTAGTGGTCACTCTAAAACATGTGATTTTTATTTTCTTTTACCTGGGTGAATTGGAGCCTCTCCTCAGTTGGCCAGTGGCTCTGCTGCTATGTGATGACACAAAGTCATCTTCATAGACTGCGTCTCCGGGGCCATTTCCAGAGTGCCAAGAATGGGCAGAGGGAGAGTTCCTCTCATTCACTACAAAACAAGGAGGAAACAAAACAGAGTATAAATATTTATGATACTGTCTAGACTGAAAGTCAGCATCTTGTACCTTTTGTTAGTATGGCCACTACAGTTTAATACAACAAACCTTGCATCTATGAATAAGTGGGCTACAAAGTAACTACAACTTTCTCACTTTTTGCTGTGTTGGCCACAAACTACAATTAACATTACAAGAAGAAGAAAAATGACCTCCTCAGCTGCTCAGAAATCCACTGACACTGAGGATTTTGTCAGACAACACACACATTTTGCCTCATCACCCACATGTATTACATGACTCTGACATATTTTCCTCCGAAGGTAAAGGTGCTCATATGTAAACTAACCTTGAACATGGCTGTGAAGGTTCTTAGTGAAAATGTTGATTACGCTTAAAGGGCTTCCTTTATTCAGCTCTTCCCAGGCTGCTTTGCTGCTGCCATGCTGAGCAAATGGGGAGCTGAGGGCTGAGCACCTTGCTGCCTCCCTCTGGAACTCAGACAGCCGCTGGTAATCCCTTCTTTCACTGGCACAGTAGTCCGCTCCCTCCAGGCGATTTGCTGGTCTTGGTACACGATTGCAGGAGGGATGAGGAGGGCTTGCCTCATCCTCTGAAAAACTCCCTTCACTCAATAGGGGACCCTCACTGATAGAACCGGCACTTGAGTCATGGAGATCTGTCTGATTCCCCTCCCTGTCATAGCCTCTCCCTTGTGCCATTTTATCCATTATATCTACCTTCTCCAAGCCACTGACTAATTTCCTCCTTTCTTGTGTATAACTGTTGAGAATGGGCCCTGTTGCTTCACTAGAAATTGTTTGCAGATTGATCAAATTGGTGTGTGTACCACTCGTTTCTTTCTGTCCCCTGAGGGTGTGCAGGTTGCCTGCTCCTGGAAGAGCTTTACTATCATATGAACTGTGACCAGTGCTAGTCAAAATCCTCTGGACCCTTGATGCCACATCATCATTTTCCATGGCAGCTGTTTGTGCCCAGCATCTATCGTCAAGATTAGCCGTAGAGGGCCGAGGAGCCAAAATAGTATCCACGTCCATTGAAGTTGCTGTACCATAGTTCATCCCTTCCCCAGCAAGCTTCCGTGCCTCACTCTCTATACGGCTGGAGAGGGATGCAGCTGTGGCCTTGAGGGCCTCGATGCGGGACATCTTGGAATGTGACCTGTTGGCAGGTGCTGTAGCTGGCCGCTGGGTGTTCTTCATGTTGCCAGCGGCCACTGCTGTCTCCAGCCTGAGAAGCTGAGAGAGAAGATGGTCGCCAAAAGGAGCTAGCATACTGCTGCTAGGGCCAGGTGTAGGTCGAACAGAGGGACTCAGACGGTCAGGCTGAAGAAAAGATGCAACTCCGACATCCAGATCATTCCTGCAACAGTGAGAGAAATAAAGAATGGAGAAGTTAAAAGGACAGAGAAAATGATATAAACAGCTTGTTTCAAATCAATGATCAAAATAAGATAGGTGTTTTCATTTCATTTGCTACTGACGAATGCAACCAAAAGAACTTTCATTTTGCATACACATAATGTTTGCAAGTATACTGTAAAAAACATTTTTCCTTGACATTTGAGTCTGTATTCCCCTGGAAAAACATCTTAATGTAACTGTTAATGGTACAGAGAACAATGATCCTGCTCTAGTGTTCCACATGTAAAATCATTGTACACCATTGTCTTTATTTCTAGTAAGTTACTTAAGATGTTCTGTTCACACATTAAAATTAAAGCAGTGACTTTAAATGTTAGTGTTTTCGTTTAAACCTCCCCTAAAATGCAGAGAAAAAAGGCTTCTGGGGCAATTGCAAGGGGTCTGAGAACAAACAGTTTCTCTATTTGATACAGTCAGGTGATTCCACACAAACATTTTTTCCAAGAGATAGAAGACTGTGAGTACTTGCAGAGAGTTGTTTGTGTTTTATCAGTGTAGATAAACTGAGTGTAGGGGAGGTCATTATTCTGGAGTTAGTGAGTAAAGTAGGTAGTTTTGTGAGTATGTGTGTGCATGTGTGTACCTGGATAATGGAGGAGGTGGCTGATCATTCAAAGACCTATCACTGCTCGAAGGGCTCTGTGGTGCATCTAGTCTTTTGTTCTCTTTGTCTGACTCTCCAGAAGGCTGGTACATTGGTCTCTGTGGAAGAACATGTTAACATACATAAAAAAAATAAATATAATTTTTTTTCTTACACATGTGACAAGTTCATTAACTAATTTCAATAAGTTAATCATTCTACCCGATACAGCTTTCATGCATTAATAAGGTGACCATGTTACACGTGTGTATACAATACCATTTGACTAGAAGCAGCAGCAGAGTGTATCTGTGTGGCCTCCTCGCCCAGCCGGGTCTCCTCCAGCAGCAGTTTGTTGTAGGTCTCCTGTAGTCGCTTTTGCACAGGGGCAACAGGTGCCTCGCTGGGAATGGCCACTATTTTAGCAACTTCTCTTTGCTTCTTGTAGAGCTCCTGCAGTCTCTGGTTTCTCCTCTCCGTCTCCTCCCTCAGTGACCTCTTCTCCTCTGCCTGACGCCTTTTTCTCTCCTCTTGTTGCCGCACAATGTACTGGCGAACGGTATCTGCGTCATAGTGTCGCTTTTTGCACCCTGCGTCAGCCATGTTGGCAGCCTCTGGTCTGTGTGTAGTGGGGCTGGCGCTGCGGCATCCTCTTGAGGAAGCACCTGTAGTCACAGTAGTTCCCCAAGCAGACACTGGCGTCCTTGTTCGTGACCCTGATCCCCCTCTTCCTCTCTTTCCACTGATACCACCCCGGGACCTTTGTCGAGCCCTCTCCTCCCTCTCAGCTGCTTTACACTCCAGCTGAAGGTCATCAAGAATCCCCTGAATGTCTGCTGACAACAGGTCTGCACTTACACCCACTGGCACCTTGTCCTGAGCTGCAGACAAGTGGGAAGATGTGGTTGTGGAGTGGCTTTTAGAACCACTGTGAGGCCTTTCTGTGCTGTTAGGACGAGATCGTCGGTTTGATTGTGAGCGTGGGTCTGAACTGGAGCGTTGACGGGAAGCTGGTGGACATTTACAGAAAGGCAAAATGTTAAAGTTGGTAAATGTTAATCAACTTGATAATGGAAACGAACCTACACACATAACAGAGCATGCTGCTAAAAAGCTTCAATACTAAGTGACTAGTTTTTACATTTTTAACTCAATTCAATGAACTGCTCTGCTGTTTGTCTATGATCAATGTCTGAAATAAACCGGTTCATCACAGCTCAAAAAACACTGGATGCTCCAACATGTAAGTGCAGCAAATTAAAAAAAACTAACTAAAAACTACAGCACTAGACCCAGACAGAGCTTTGGGGGGCATGCTTGCCATGGCAACTCTAATCTGGGCCAAACAGAAAATTCCCATCTAGATTTTACATTCTAATCCAGACAGTGTTTTTTTTAGAACATGGCTGTAGCGAGGCTCATTGCACTGCCCTGCCCCACTCTGCCATCCCCCAGAGTACATGCCGCCTGCACTGGGACCAACCTCTGGAAATTAGGCCATGTCTGATTGTGCATCCAACCAGAACAGCCAGTCAATCTCTATTCCTTCCGGTCAATGGTGCCCAGTACAGATGCAGCTAGCAAAGACAGAGGTAGATACTGATAGTGATAGTGTGTGTGTGTGTGTATATGGGAGAGCGTATAAATAAAATTTATGAATGTGTGAGTACAGCAGCAGCCATAGACTCTTTATTTATTGATATTTCTTTGGCTGACACTGTTGTCAGTCTAACTGTGAGTCTCAGACATGTGAAAACCCTAAATGAAACTAGGGATAATTTATTTTACTATTTCTTCCAATTACACAGATAAACTCCATTACAGATACCTACACCCAGTGCAGAAATGTATGTTTAATGTTAAAGATCAATAGCAATATGAGAAAACAGGTTTGTGTAAAATGAGGACACAAGATGTCTGAAAGAAGGGGGAGGGGGGAGATCAAGCAGTCAAGAGTAAAACCTAATTTACACCTCAGTGATTAAGTCTTGTCCTACACGCCACTGGACATAAATAATGCAGAAAGGACATTTCTGACGTCAAGCTGAAATGTTTCAAGCAGGTCTTAAAACGTTAGTAGAAAGCTAATCACCTTTGCTGTCTATGTTCTTTTTACTTTCTTTCTACTGCAAGAAGACGATTGGACAAATGGTTACAGCAGAGATAAATGGGTTATAGGTAAGCCGAGTCAGCTGTTGGTATAATGAAATGGGCTAACATAGCAATATAGACAGGGATGTCATGGCATGCCTATAAGGTTAAGAGCTTAGGTCACCAGGTCCCACCTGTTCTGCTCAGTCCGTCAACTGGATGGGGCCTGTCCTCCTCCCGGGGCAGCTTGGGAACTGGACCCAGTACCATCTTTACAAGCTTCTGGCCATCCCGCCACGATGCAGGGCTAATCGCTGCAGAGAAACATAAATTTAACACCTTTGATGTTATCAGTGCATGTGCTAGCATACACTGCAGATAAGTAGACAGACATACCCCAACTGGAGCATACTCATTTGTACATAAATAAACAGAAACAGAAGAGATACAAGAAAAGTATTTGATAGATGAGTTGCATAGCTTCATTAAGATTAATTTAAAATGGTCACTTAACACAAACCTAATAAAATGAAAACTAAGTCTCAGACTCTGTTTACTTTACTTACTTGCCCCTAATAACAATCTGGCAGATATATTTGCTTTTATTTCACACAGCTTTCCTGTTAATCTCTGCTTTATGCTACTACAATGAGCGTAAGTAGAATGACATTTGTGGTGCTCAGAGCATTTGAAAGTACCATTTTGAAAACAGTAATTAGCCTTTACTTTACTCTCTAGAGCACTTTTCACTCTGGCTGTATTACACCAAAGAGCAGTTCCCGGTAATGAAGCTGTACATCCACTAAGCAAGCAGCTGTTTGTACCGGGTGGATGAGCCAACTGAACCTGGCCACAGATTTCAGAAGGCTATTTATAGTACTTTGCCAGCATGAAACAGAGACCAGCCAAACTTGAGAGGCAATACATAAGTTGGAAGGAACACAAGAAGACACCAGGGACACTGTGAAAAAGAACTAGAATACTTGGTATTTTGCTGTCAGTTTCAGGATATGCAGATTTCATCTTTTTTTGCACTGTATATTTCAACATTTTTTGTAAGGAGTCTTAATCATTCATTGGGGTTATCACAACATACCAATACCATTATATACCAAACAAATGGCTTTCTTTATGTCCAGGTCAACACAGACGGAGGTCAAGACAAATAGTTATCATGTTTACATGTGTGTGTTTACATGCTACACCCACATTACCACAGTATGTAGCAAAGAGTCTTCTGTGTAGGTGTCTGTATGCTACGTGCTTGTCACAAACTGCATGTCATACATACTGGACATTTCTTCAGGGATTAGAGTCTTAACACAGCCTCACAAGCCAGCAATGGCTCTAACTCATGTACTGGAACACACATAGGCCTGGTATGGAACAATGTGTACATGGAAAGAACACATTGAATACCGTAGCCCAAACAGCAATCTTTGCTGTCTCTTTGAGGCATTTATGACATTAACTAAATTGGATTAAAATTAAAGAATTTATATTTGGATTATTTGATGTTTATCTTGCATGTAAACAAAGTTGAAACAGCGATAAGAAACTAGGGATGGGCAATCTCAATATTCGAGTACTCTCATTACCTTATAAACGAGTACAAAATACGGAAGATCCCTGTCCGACTGGAAACACAAGCGGAATGTTAACTTTGTGTTTCCAGACGGACACGGACCTCCCCGACCACGCCTACTGTTTGACTGTCGGAGAACATGATATGCAAGTTTAACGCCACATATCTTGAACTGCACGTTATTGTCGTCTTTTTTTTTTTTATCAAAGTATTTCCCAACATCACTTTCTCTAGTCACGGCTGCCATGATGCATGTAATGCTACCTGAGTTGAACTAATGAACCAAAAACAACACGTGAGCAGGTGCTACTCGAATAATGACATCAACAACGAGTACTTGTGTACTCATACCCATCATTACAAGAAACAGCAAGAAACTGTCTTACACTTAATGTATTTACATTCATCAAAAGACAAAGCAAAGAGATGATCCAAATCATTACTGAACTTAAATCAGTAAGAGCATTTGTGCAGGGTAAAGTATCCACCAAATTTCTAATCTATAATCCATCTATAAATAAAAGGTAGATAAGAAATACAACTAACTCATTAAAAGGTCACAAACATTATTGTAGCAAAGCCAGTTGAGAAAAATGTTCTGCTCACAGAGATGCTTCAACACGTGAGGTTCTTGCTTTTGGAGCATATTCACTGACCCGCAACAAAAACCTGTCAGACTGTTCCACATGCTTAGCTTTCCTACTGTCACTAATTAAAAATAGATCAGAGGGCGGATTGGCCTTCACACATAAAAGAGGATTATTATACCTGGTTTTGCATTTAGGTCGGAGGCAGGGGTAGCTCTGTGGACCTTCCTGACTGGTTTGGGAGGCCTCCTCTCTTTGGACCTGTCTGCTCTCTGTTCCCTCTGCTGCTGATGCCTGGATCTGGTGCTCTCTGTACAAAGACAACACATGCAGAGAATGAGCCACAAAGCAACACAAACTGACGAACAGTTATTATTCAAAATAAAAGTTGTCACTTGGTTGAAAAAAACCCTGTGCCTAAGGGTGGGCAATCATAAAAAAATCATATCACTACTTTTAAAACTCACAATCACAATCCACAATCTGAATTGCAATTTTTAGAATTGTTGTTATAAGTTCAGGTTAAAAAAAAAAAAAACAACTTTGACATCCTGACCATAACAGATAATTCTATAAATGAGGAATGATAGTAATGAGAAGAAAAAATTTGTGCTTTGTGCTTACCAGCAAACTGACGTGACAGGTCTCTGTATATTTCTCTGCTGAGGTTATGAAACTCCTCCTCTTTCCAAACTTTCCCGTCAGGTGTCCGGATCTTTGTCTCAGTACTGTTGAAACCTGAGGGTAAAAGGTTTGAATATTCAAGCTTCAGCATCCTGTTTACTACTAAATGGCTCTAATCTGTATTCACAAAACACTAAGCTATCGTTTTAGATATAATTTTTTCAAACAAGTGAAAAAGATAAAAGTGTGGCACAAATCTTATTCTCAAAATACCTTTGTAAATAGGAGCAGGTGGCGCAGCTGCAACTTTCCGTACTTTGGCTGTGGGCATGTTGTTGGTACCAGCATTGTTACTCCCCACAGCTGCCGTAATAGGCTGTTCCAGAAAACCCATCAGCTTCTCTCTCTCTGCAGCCTCCTCCAGATGTTGTCTCTGCCTTCGAATACGCTCTTTGAGCTTCTCCAGTTTATCATCAGGCTGATGTCGCCTTAGATTCTCCAAGCGCTGGGAGGCTGAGCCAGGGCTGGTGGAAGGAGTGCTCTCCCCGCGGCGTAAGGAGCCTGGGGCTGGAGCTAGCCATGGGCTTGAATCTTGGCTGTCCATACCAGGTTGTGCTTTGGGAGTTCTTTCCTCCTCGGCCCCCTCCCTTAAATTGGCTCTTACACCTGTGAGATATGATTGATTTCCAATGGTCCTCATGGTGTCCAGGGCTGGCTGGTCATTGAGGTAGCGGACCTCTGTGCCCTCCAGAGCCGAGGAGTGTGTGCTGTCCAGGTCTCTGTCTGTCTGCTTGTCCCTGGTGTCCCTCTGGTAGACCAGCTGGCTGAGCAGAGGATCTGAGGGAAGTGGAGACGATGGGTACGAAGACCCTGGCACTGACTGCAGGCTGTAGGCATCCAGCTGAGAGGATGGATGTGGTGGAGGGGTAGCCTCTCTGGACACAAACCAGATTACATGGGATCAGGAAGAGGATCAAGATTTACTCTTAATTTACTGAGTGAACACATTTATGGGTGGTCAAAGGGTACAGAAGGAGGGAGTGCCACATTCACTCAAGATGTCACTTTAGTTTAATGATGAAAAACATTTAAAATTTATGACTAATGAAATAAAATTGTTGAATTTTTAAATTATAGTAATACAAATATTACACTGGCCTCAATGACTAACAAGACGGTAGATTAATATTACCAGTGGCTCTCGATGTACAATAACATCCAAAAAGTGATCTGAATATCATGGATATCTGTGTATATTTGCTGGTAAAAGTAAAACATAAACAAAAACTTCAGACACGTCCTTTCAAATACTTTTGTGCTTTTGAAATTCAAATACTGATATTGTTAGAGATTACATTCGCAATTTACATAATTTACTGTAAATGTAACATTTGAATAAAGTAATCCTGTTACACTGAGTGACAATACTAGGGTCAATACTTTAAGGTTTTGCAGTATTCCTGCAAACAATGGAGCCTTGAGCTACTGAAGTATCTGTAAGCTGTTTAGCAATAAGTCATTCAGAGGAGATGTCAAGAACATATGGGATCTGAATAGAGCTCTTGAAGATCAAAGAGCATTGGGGACTGACTGTTATTTAGGTGAAAGACCTTTTCTGGTGTATCATGTTTAAACAATGGGCTGACGCAATAATCACAATGAAAATGTCACAGGCCAGGTGGGCAATAAACACTGTCTTATACAGTTGTCACGCTAGAGAACACACACACACACACACACACACACACACACACACAGACACACACACACACACACACACACACACAATACAGAGTAACTAGACTGGTACTGTTTTCATTATATTAAAATAGTAATATTAGTAGCATTGCTTTAGCATGTTCAGTAAAAGCTTTATGCCTTTTGTTTTGTTTTCATAGAAGATTTGGAAAAAGAGAATATTACCAGTGTGATATGGTTAGTACTCAAAACCCCAACCACAGATATCCAGTCCTTAGTATGACAGTCTATCCAACTACAGCAATCTACCCAGAGAGGTGACTAAGGATATTTCATAAATAAGTTTTAGTGCAGTATTTGTACCTGTATGAGGCCAGCGGTTCCCTGAACTCCACACTGTTGTTCCTGCGGACGTTGCTGTCCTGGGTAGTGTTTCTCAGTGGGCTGCGTGAGCTGCTCTTTTCTGGACTCTGCTGACTACGCCCCCTGCGCTTTGAAGACCCTCCATTGTCATCAGCTTGTTGCCCATCTGATGACAGAGAGAACAAAGTAAAATAGTAGTCGATATAACATAGACTTTAACTAATATAATGCCATTTTGTAAAATGCAGCTTTACATTTTGGATTAACTCACCCCTGCAGCGGACCGCCCTGGACGATTTCTCCTTGTGGGGGTCCATGACTGAGTCCAGGATAACCCCTGTCCCTGGAACTGCCTCTAAACGGTTTTCTATATGCCGCAACTACATATAGAAATTACATGTCAGACTCATTGGATTATGTGAGCATGAAAGGGAGTCATTTTCATCAGTATTAGATATTCCAGACTGTATTTCATCTGCTCTATGAAATGGCAATTCTTTCTGAATGGCTGACAAACAGAGTCACTCAGCAAAACACTGCTCCAGGTGCACTTACAGCAGCTTTGGACTGAGCCAAACTTTTCCATGCAGTTGTCAGCTCTGACAAAGAGGAGATGGTAAAAAAAATCATTATAACATGTGAGAGAGAAAATCTTGCTATGTAAACAACACATATGACAAATTTAAATTATGAATTTCAAATAAAGTGAGAACATTATACCAATGGAGAATAAACACTACCTGTGCCGATATTGTGATCGGTAAGTTGCTGAGCAGAGCTTTTGAGAGACACCTCTGTCCTCCTGCTGCTCCTCATCTCTCCCATTCACCTGTATCCAAGGTTAGACAGGCAAATAATAAAAATTAATACACAGCAATGGTGAAGGCCTATGAATGACATCAACACAAAAAGTCATTAAAAGGATATACTCTTGTACGATTATATTTTATACCATATGCACAATCTGCAGATAAAGGCAGTGACATCTCAGCAATCAGTCAGATAAAACAAAAAATGTTACGTGAACCAAACACAAGGAATAACAAACAGAAACAAAAAGCATCAAGTATTTCCAAACAAGTATTAAAATGAAAAAAAATACAAAATACTTCGGATAGTTAATTCCTTGCATATCATCTGTCTCTATTATGACAGTCTGCTGACAGCAGATTAATGTCACCCTACCATTTAAAACAGGTTCTGCAGCAGCAGATTTCCATGAGTGAAGCAGAACTGAAGTGTGTCATGTCAGCCTTGTGATGTTTACTTAAAACACCTGTAATGCTAGAGCACAGGGGTCTGGTCCTACATAGTTACTACTCTCATCAAGTCAACTGCAAAACGATGTTTAATAATTTTGTCCTGATTACGTAACACTCTTTCTGAGAAAATATGGTATCAATTTGTTGACAATTTTGCTGCTTCATTAGTTACTTAAATCACAGATCTATATAACGATAATCTATTTAACACTCCTTCAGTCATAAGCAGTTCTTCATAAGTTCTTCAGAAGTCAAACCTATTACTCATAACAATCACATGACACAGCCTTGAGGTGACCACGTCACTAAGAGCAAACAGGAAGAAGAATACTGTTTCTGCATCAACGGAATTTTCTTAGTAACAGCTCTCTCTATTAACATATGGACATAGACCGGTGACCGTGTTTATACGCTCTAATCAACAATGCAAACAGTGTGAATGAAATTGTAGACAATAGCTTTTGTCTTTCCTGTTATCTGAATCCAAGGTAGAAGAAAAAACAAATAAAATGACGAGCCGTTAAACGATATGTAATGTTGGTATATTTATACAAGGAACTAACGTTGTCAGGTTGTCATCTTGACTATCGAAATCAGCTGACGTTATGACTTGACCTGAAGAGTGCACACGCCAGCATTACATGAGACACTTCTCTGTTCAAGGCTAACTCAGTGTTAGTAAATTACGTTTGTAAGACAAATTTTCTGTCGATGTTAGCCTTCGTTCACAGACGATTCACAACCAAAGAGCCTACAAGCTGCAGGCTTTATCAGGACTGTGGTACTCTATACCAGTCCTGTGTTGTTGTCACAGTGAAGCCACCCAATTCAAGCATTTAGTCTTCATAAATTTCTTTAACAAAAGTATATTGAAATTACAAACTCGTCGGGATGGGGGTGGGCCTGTCAGAAACAAATCAGGGGAAGAAAGGATTATGTTGGGCGAGCTTTAATTGAGAAAAACGTCATTTTCCCGATGGAGTGAGGGTGATTTTCATTACAGCAAATACAGCCCTTATAAAATCCAAGATGGCGCATAATTTCTTCTTTGCCCACCGGCTACAGCGCTGCTCAGCAGCAAAGCTCTGTGCTGCCACTTATGGGTAGACGCCACATTACAAAAACACTAATGAAGGAGCATACACTGTTGCATTATAGCTTCTGACCACTGAAGTCACCACTGTGCAAACGGCTGCTTAGCACCACTCCAGGAGTCGCGCGATGAAGAAATAATGGGCCATCTTTGACTTTACATGGGTTGTATTGATTTTAACTGGAATCAACTTCACTTCATCTTAATAAGTTGTTTTTTTATAACTTATTATCTACCTGGCATTACCGTATTGTCCCCGGATAGTTCGCTGAGGAGTTATGCTCTTATTCAGTTACTTCATATTTTTCATATTATTGTGTAAAAAACCGAGAGTCTGAAATAAGTGGGTTCACACTGGTGGTACATTTGGATGTGTACAAGAGCTATTCTGTCGTTGGCGCTGTTAGTAATGAATAGATTAATCTATGACATTACCAAATGAAACAGCAACTAATGGCTATCGAACTCGCATTGTCCAAGAGAAATGACCCATGTTAAAGGCTACCACTTAAACACCAGGAATTACCCGCACTACAATCCATCGTTAATCTACTTTCGGGTCTGAACTAACAACCAGGATATTACTCTCTTGCAAAGACCTAAATATTATTTAAACAACCTCAACTTTTTAACAACCACGTTTCGTTTTATAGTACAATCATTGTACGCCCAACGATCACGTCTCCAACTTACTTTAAAATCTGACTTTAAGATGACTTATTTCGAAATGTCTTTGGTCCAGGGTGTAGTCGGAGCCGCCAACTCGAGAGTTTATGTTAACTTGGCTAAACGCCGCTTTGACGAGACATAACAAATACCTTTAAGGAAACGATCCGAGGTGTTTAGGTGTCCACATTCATGCTGGCATCCTCATGATAAGACAATCCTAACTTCTCCGGACTTCTTCAGTTTCGTTCAGCTGTCTGTTTGCTAACGTTAGCGTTAGCCAGCTAACGTTAGCAAACCAATGTTAGCTCACAGTTGTGCCAACTAAGCTAGCAACTTTTTGTAGCGACATGCACCCATTATTGTCGTCTCGGCGATAGTCCAGGAAATCAAATATCCAGGTCAGCTGTGAGATTCCTGGAGAGAAATGTCGCTACCCGCCTCTGAGGTTGCCTTTCCCGGGTTACTATGTTGATGTTTCTCAGCGGTGAAACTGGAGTATCCAAGACGGGTAGGTAACTGAGAGACCGAGATATCGCGAGAGTTGGATCACGTCAAACGTTGGGACAGCACCCCCCCGCGCAGGCAGGAAGGCAGGCAGACACACGCGCGCGCGCGCGCACACACACACACACACACACACACACACAAATCACTACAAATCAATACAAATCAATACAATTTTTTTATTAATTAATGAATAGTTATAATCACTTTCACAACAATTTTTATGGTTATCATAAAAAAAAGGTGAAGGTGCTGCATATATTTGCAAGAATAGCTGGTTTTGCATGGTCTGAAATAAGAATTTAGTTTATTGTGAGTATCTTCTTTTTTTAAATGTTCAAACTATAGGCCTATTGGTCAGAGCAGACAAAGCCAAAGTTGCTTTATCAATCCAGTTTATGTGCGTTTACTGACACCCAGGGGCCCGAGCACGTATCACACACAGAGACACGCTTATTGATGGGCGCACACACCCAAGCTGTGCTGCATCGCATCACCCTGAAAGCTCCACTCATTCAAAACAATACCTTAGCCCACTAACCCAGTCCAGTTCATTAAAGTTATATATAAAACCCACAAGATAGGCTATTGCTTTTTTTTTCTTCATTCGACTGATTTTATTGTTGGTAGAGTGAGGACTCTCTTTTGTTGGTCCCTATGGTAACAAATGGAGTGCACATTGTAAAAATGGTCGAAATAGTTTGATGATAGCGTGTGTGCTCACGGTTACAAGTGAGTCATAAATGTATAAACTGCAGCGCAGCCTGTTATGACCACGAAGATAGAGATCCAGCCTTTTGAATTGTGGCAGCTTGTTTGACCATGCAGAAGGCAACAAGTAGGTTACCTGTATAGCCTACTGTCTGGCTTCATATTCATTCATGTGGAACTGAACAAATAGTTACATGAGATTTAATTAGGCTACGATCTCGAATATGTCATACAGCAGCGTCTTTTATTGTATTTTGTGTGCGTGCGTGTGTGTGTCTTTTCAATAAAACGTGGTGTAACTAGGAACTGCTCCAAATCCCCCGATTCCCCCTCGTTAATAACCTGGTCCAGTCATCTCTCTCTCTCTCTCTCTCTCTCTCTCTCTCTCAGAACTGGCAGGGGATAGTACGGCAGACGTGGTCTTGTCTGCTGCCACATTTTCTTTTTCTGTGGAAAGGTGAGCGAAATGGAAAGGAGCTCTCTCTTTTCAGGTAAGGAATCCTACGCAATGTATGTTTTCAAACAGGTGTTAGTTAAAAAAAAACCACTGCAGTTTCCCGTCTGTATTGAGCTTATCTTCCATCCGACAGCTGAAGCCTTTTGGCAGAGGTTATGTTTGTGTGCCACCCAGAGGAGCAGGGTGCAGAAAGCCAGAATGAGGAGTCTTCCTTCAGTCTTCATTCAAGATACTGATCAGTGCGATAGACAAGTGCAGGTTTTTGAAGCCTTTGTGTGACTTGAAATATAACAGCCTGCATGTTTGATGCTCTAAACGTATTTATGTTACTTTTTTGCAGTTAAAATAAGACTCCCCTCTGTCTAAGACATACATGTTTTTTTCCCCTAAATGTTTGGTGGTGAGAGGAGGCTGTTTTTCAACTCCACTCACCTTGGCTTGTTGCATACTTAATTGGCCTCCAAAACATGACCAAATTAGCAACGTATACGACTACGACAGAGCACTGCAACAGGATGAGAGGACTAGGAGAGTGAGTCATTAGAGTCATAGTGGCACAAGAAGATTCAAATTTTCATATTCAGAGTGTTGGAGAGTGAGTGACAGAGCAGGTGTCAGCATAAGGGCCACATGGAGAGAGACTTGAATTAGGTTTTCTAATTACTAAGTGGGCCTATACTAGATCATGACACAATTTCAAGTGTTGTCTTACCTTAAGAAGGAAGGAATTAATTAAGATGAGAAAATCAAGACTACACTCACTGCAGTAAATGGAAAGAAAGTGCATGTCTGACAAGTTATTGATGGGGTTTTAGATGCTAAAATGTCAATACTTGCTTGTATCATCTATCTATGAACTTGGTTGTTTACCTCTATCATTTTTTCCTCTTTTTTTGTTATCTTCTTGAAAAATGAACTGAGTTTGAGGCCTGTTGTGATGTATTTAGATAGCTAATCCATCAGAACAAGCACAACAGCCTGTTTTCTCAAATCCTGAGAGTTGGACAATAAAGGAAGAGGCAGTTTGAGCAATCACTGTTTGTGTTAGATGACAAGATGCTGGAGGCAAACTCTTTGTTACGAGCTGACTTCATCACTTTACATCTCTCCTTTTCCTGAA